AGAACTTTTGATGATTGCAAACTATCTGCTTTCATTGAAGTCAGCTGATGGCAAGTTGCTAGTGAAACATAAAAGGAAAACCTTTATTCTGGGGTTCGTTATAACCATCAAATCCACAATTGAAATGGCGACAATGATGCTAACTCAACCAACTAATCCATTCAAATATCTTCTGACCTACAAGTATTCCCAAGATCATATTGAGCTTTTATTCAGTTGTATTCGTTCCAGAGGAGGATGGAACAACAATCCAAACTGCCTTCAGCTGAAGTACACTCTTCGACATATGCTGCTGAAGAATTCAATCACAGCTTCAACAAATGCCAACTGCCAAATCCTAGATCAGCATTCAGTCATCCCAGTCCTACATAGCAGGAAGCATGCATCTCCTCTGAAAGAGAAACCTACAACCAATGTTGTTGAAGAAGATCAAAACGTGGAGATGGAGTCATTGATTACGCACTTACAGCAGCCTCTATCAGAGTTCACCATGTATGTCTTACACTACATCTCTGGTTTCATAGTTTCAAAATTGCTCAAGAAAATACACTGTCCACAGTGTATTGGTGACATTACAGCCTCAGCCAGTCACAATCAAGTGCAAACCTACAAACCATGTGATGACATGTATGACAAAGCCTCTTCATTCACTTCCTTTATCAACAAAGGTGGTCTTCACATTCCTTCACCGTTTACTCTTAAAGTTGTGGCAAGTGCAGAGCAAGTATTCAAGTGTTATGTGTCATCAGGTAACCATAACAAAATCTCCAATACGAAGAAGCTGAAAGAAAAAATGTTACAAGAAGTCAGCTACAAGTTTGCTGAAAACGGTATAAAACAGGAAAGCCATGGATATTGCTTGAGTGAAACACTGTTTGACAACCACAGTGTATGGCTTGTTAAATGCATTGCAGATCAATTTTTCAGATTGAGATTGTTCACCTATGCAAAAAGGTACAATGAAAATGTTGTGAGAGCAGGAAAACCAAGTAAAAGGCACCAACTGAACAAATATACTTTGTTTCGAAACGAATGATTTAGTTTAATTAATAACTAATCGATCTTCAAATAATGTATTTATAAATATAGCCATGCAATATGTTTTTTATTGCATTTTTTGATACAAAGTTTTTAAAATTGAATACATACAATTTGTTACAACCTTACCTGGCAATGTTATTCTTTCTAGAGAGGTAACTTATGCCGTATATTTGTTGTGTTTACAAAATTGACCGAGTTCCACTCATACACGTTGCCGCCATATTGAATTTTAACCGTTCGTGCGCGGAGGTCTGGTTCGGTACCCAAGCAGCCTTCATGATCCGCCATGTTTGGCTTCACTTTTAGGTTACGCAATGTACTAGAGCGAGCCTTCCATATATATAGAGTTCACTGTTACAACATGCATGTAGGTTTTTTATTGCATGCCAAAATATAAAAAGTACCCTAGCTGGCCTAATTATTACTCCTTTTTCATATAATTATTATACTGATTAGGGAAAGCATGACATTAATATAGGATGTGATAAATTAATCCGACTCCCATGTCGGGTGCGTAGGAGGTTACTGGCATGTTTGTGCATGTATACTCACGAAGCTCTTGTTCTTTTTAGCCCACTCAAATAAACTAAGTAAGTTCTCATTTCACTGTTTGGAAACTTGCCGTTTTAGATCTTTTGAATGCGGTTTTTTCACTTCGAAAGCCAGGCAACTCAGTCGCATGCATGTGCTACTGGCCAAGTCTATAATTATGCTAAAATAGCCCCATGATGACAGATATTTGTTTAGTCCTAATAAAATGGAATGAGAGGCATTCCTGAATTAAAATATCGTCGGTGGAGTGCCGGTTAAAGTCGTCACTCCTATTGGTTTTATTCGCGCATGCAATATAAAGCTAAATAAAAGGAACGAAAAAAAAACGCTTGCTCCACTTATGGGTGGCGCATTTATAAACAATTACTTTCAGGAAGCGTCAGCCACTGCCATAGTTTTACATGTTAACCTAAACCAACATTTGGTGAGTTTAGTAGCAGCTCTATAGCTGTTAATCCTGTAGCCGAATAGTGCAGACCATAATTTTGGTAAAAAATTACTTGAAACATACCTTTACATTGGAATTGGTGGGTAACAAAAAGTGAACCCATGATCATAAGAAGAAACCTGTGCATCTTGTGCATAAAAGCTAATCTTGAACGACGTTAAAGAGGTCGGCGGAATTACTGGAACTGGTAGTTTTATATACGATCGACGGAAAACTACGAATATAGTTTTGTGATTTATTGCAATCACGTCTTAAACTATACCTTAGATCAACAAAGCAATGTAACTGAATGGACAACGTAAGGCGGCACACAATAAGAATACTAATAATAATGGTCAGGTATTTCGGAGATGTCAATATTCTGGCTAATATATACTATTGTCATGCAGCAAAGCGGCAATATATCTGATCGGTCCCACAGTCGAATTGCATTAAGTCTGGCTCACGCCTACGGTAAAATTGATGCATGCTTACGGTTAACTTAAATTTATCTGGAAATCAAGAACTGATTTCCGAAATGTTAGTAATAGTCGATCATTTTATTATCCCCCATATAAAGAGTTTAAAGCCCCGTTTACACTGCACACAATTTATCATCACGGCTAAATTTGGTACTCGTGCATGCCCATTTCATCCGTGCATGGCCTTCGTACTAGTAGTCTGTGTGAAATAATTTACAACATGCATGTGAAATTTCACCTTCACATGTGAAAAGCAAATTTCGTGCGGGAAATTTCTTTCACAAGTGAAATTGTAAAAAATCCATTTGGAACATGCATTCATGATGTAAACTTGCTGTCTTTACACATTTTGAATGCATGTGTTTAAAGAGTTTCACTATATAATTTATTTAACATATTTTATATGTTTGCATTCAAAATTATGACTAAACATGTTCCAGTACTTCATTCATGAAACATTTATATATTTGACAATGAAGGACCTGTGTGAAGGTAAAAGATGAAACAGATGAATAGTATTGCCAATTGTTTGAACACTTACATACTTAATCCTCAGGTACTGTAAAGTACATTATTATAAACACTTGCCTATATAGGTTTTTACCTGTAATATATTGTATAAAATTTTGTGATAGCGTTATAGGTGTTTTTGCATACGGTATATTGTTTAACACAATAGAAAAAAGACTAAAAAGTGGACATTCCTGGATACTGACATGGTGTGCTAACATAGTCTGCTATGCATGATCTCACATGATTTCTCAGGAAAGTAGTTTCACTGGGTTAGGGAAAACAATGACCTTTTATTAGCCGCAGAACACACACTTTTTATCAGTACCAACTTAAAAAGACATTTTTTAACATGTATTACCTTTTCCTGCATAAATCTTGATTTTTGAAGGAAAAAATATCAGATGGCAAATTATATGTTCTTGGGTAAGCTATATTTGTTATTTGAATATGGAAAACGTATAATTATTATGTATAAGCAATACTTCAGTTCCATAATCTGCAATAGGCAATAGGCAGTTTTGTATGTACTATGTATTATGTTAGTATGTACAATGTATTATGTTATATATATTTAAACTATAATAAATTAAGGTGCATGTTCGACTTAAGCGGCATTCTGTGCATTTCTTGTCATGAGTCAAGGCAAGTTTGGTGTGTGTTTAATCAAGAGAGATGATCCTGTATATCCAAACAGTGATTCGCTAATAATTTAGCTTGTTTCTCTAGTTAAATATGATTAACTTGTAAATGATTGGGAATTGTTTCTCTAGTTAAATATGATTAACTTGTTAAAAGTTCGTGCCGGACAATCTTTTTTATGTATTTAAGTAGCTATATGTTAAGGTGCATGGTGATTAAAAAATTAGCATCTCGTAGTTTTAGCGAGAAGCCTCTGTTTCATTTCTAAAAAGATTAGTATTTGCACCCCTTTAATTGGCAGTACATTTTTATTTTGTGCAGTAGATGCAATATCCTATCGTCTGAAACAATTGACATATATTTCCAACAGTGAATAATTGTCATTGCTGTTTCTGCTGAATGACCGACCTCCCAGTCTTCTAATAAAACTCCTATTTATTCTATTTTGAAATGGTTTAAGGTTATCAAGGTTTTCACCTTGATTACTTAAAGTGTGTAATCTACTCCTCTTTTCGATTTACTGTTTTTCTATAATTTATGCTGGAGACATGTAGTATACACTCGCCTTTCACAAGAAAACACACTTCATGCTCTATCAAGGAAACTAAATAATGTTGATCGAAACCATGCATGTTAACGAATGAATGAAATTGAATTAAATATAATGCATTGCAATTATGTGGCAACGAAAGATCGTTAGGTGGAAGAGCAAACAAAGGGGATTGACAGGTAATTTAAAAAAGAAATGGACAAAGCACACTTATCATGCAGGGTATATATTGCAAGAATTTATACAGTGATGTATCTTTTGCAAGTAACATAGTTTCGTATATCATTTACACTTATTGTAGTTTTCTTCTGTGACTATACTGTTTATATACTAGTATAAGCTAATTAATGGCCTACCATGCATGTATCGTACGTTTTTATCGGCTGAGCTACGAGTGGAGAATTGCCGCCTCCCTAATGAATAAAGTTATCACTCCAGCGTTAGAGATCACGAGTAAGTCCGTCTAAGGAATGGGAATCAGCATTCGTGTTTGATTAGAAACACGTTGCAAAACAGCTTTTGTATTAATTCAGATAGAGGTAGGTAAACAGGTCACATTTTGAATCGCTCTACCGATCAGTGGCCAAAACAAAAAGTTTTCATCAAACGTCATTGTAGTTGTACTGGTCTTACGCCTGTATTCAAAAAGCTCACTCACACTCATACTCATCGAGTGTGACATATAAATTTCGTTAATGCTGATCAATGAGAAAGTTTTTTCTGAATAGATGGAAAGATATAAGGTAAATCACTGAAAATCAAGCCCCTGTTCGGCTGGAAATACCACCATTGAAACGTTATGAGAAGATTAAGATCTCCCACTCAATGAGTTTGAGTGTGAGTGAGCTTTTAGAACACAGGCGTTAATGTCTACCGTGCAACCAATGATTGATAGTTGCTCTGTGCATCTCTTACAGTTTTCAACTCTGCATACTCCGAATCTGCTTCTTTCCATGCCCTTAATTCAGTGTAAGTTGGATCATCTTCGTTTGCTGCTTCTTCCTCTTCTGCCACGCGATTTTCTTCTGCATTAACATCCCTGGGAACTATATCTTCTTGTGTAGTTGTATCTATATCGGTTGTGTATTTTTGGGACCTAATTCTCTTTAGACAGCGGCAACAACATATAACGCCACATGTAAGGAAAAACCAAATGACTGCGAACACCACTGATATTATTACGATGAGCCAAACTGTGCTTAGACCACCTATAATATGTCCATAAAACGTGTTTCAATATCATGGATTTGTGGATCCATCGCGAAGAAATGAACAGATAAATGATAAAATCGTGCCGTATTGTTTCTCATCATCAGAAATTATCAATAAAATGGTACTTTATATAGCAATTAAATTCTGAATTACAACGAATCAGATAACTGTATTAATTTTGTTCAAATTGCAGTTGCTTAAATAGAAATTATATTGGATTTTTTTATATCAACTGTAGATAAAATTTGCCAACGATGAACATTCAACTTCGCAACAACCATCGTTCAAACTGAGATTTTGATTTGAAAACATTAGGCTCACAATTCTCTAACTCGCCTAGTCCCAAAATTGTCCCACTATGCAACTTTCAAGTTATTATAATTATTCATTTATTTAGAAATTTATTGTTTTATTACTAGCATAGCGGGACAAATCGTTGGGCTGGATATGCTATACTGTTCACCGTCCTATCTTAACGATATAAATTATATGTCCTGAAGTAGAACTAATATTTTTAAACAAAGGAAACAAGCATATGAACTTATAATTTTATATAATGAAACATTATTTTAACAGTGTATAAGCAGAAGCAATAACAAAATAATTACCTGTATGACTACTCTTTGAAGTGCAAGTGCTACATGATGGTACTACTGTTGGAGGTTCACTTGTCGCTAGAATTGAACATTGTATGGATGAATAAAAATTATGATAAACTTTCTTTTCAGTACAAAAATCTATGTTGCCCCACCAGTTAAGCAATTTGGCCCGCCAGGAAAAATCCTATGTTTAAAAAGACATTGATAAAAAATAAAGATTGCTTTGGTTCAGGATAATGTATTAGAATTTTTATATTTTGTAAGTACATTATTTTGCATATTAGTTAAAATCAGGCAACTGTCAAAAATTTTCCAGGCATTCTCTTTTTCATTGCATGTGTACTCCACCTATCTTAGTGCCAAGCCAAATATTCCTTGGAGACCTTGCATGGTTATTAGTTAGCTGTGTTGAAACTACCGACCGAAGTCTGGACCACGCATGGCACTGCGTCGGCAACTGAGAAATTCAAGGCAAGGCATCGCGTTTAAGCTGAGAAAAACTTAAAATATAGGCTCGGTATTGTGTTAAAATTATGCTGCATTTCAAAATTATTATATCGTTTATATTGTAGTCTACAATTCCTATTCAAATTAAGGTGACGCATAAATGTAAACATTACGACATTTAGGTTTTTTGTTGGGTGTCAAAAAATAAACAGTACACTGTTCAAATTATTGCAATCATAATTATAATATATGATGTATATTATAATGATATTATGTGCATGATATTAATATATAACATGGGATAAATGAATTTGGACTCCCCTGTCGGGTGCGTAGGAGGTTCATAGCCTATTTGAGTTTATATCAGTGATGAAGGTCCTGTTTTTTGTCTCCCACTCATGCAAGTTCCGTAATATAGGAAGCTTGCCTTTAGATTAACGAGTATAAGGTTTCTCATTTCACAGTTTCGAAACTTGCCGTTTTAGATCTTATTAATGCGGTTTTTTCACTCCAAAAGCCAGGCGACTCGCACAGTGGCGTAGCCAGCATCGATAATTGGGGGGGCCCATATTCATATATTCATGCATGTTAACAGACTGTAAAGACAATTGATTTGAAAAGAAATTAATCCTGCGTATCACGAATATATGAATATTGGCCCCCCCAATTATCGTTCTGGCTACGCCACTGGACTCGCATGTACCATGATGATAGATTCATTTAATCCCAATTCAATGTAATGAGAGGCATTCGTGAATTAAATTATGTCGTAGCTCCTATTACAAGAGTTCTATTACATGAGCACCTTTCTATTAAATTCAAACTATATAGATCTAGAAATACATCACTCATCTATATGCATGCAGAATAAGAAATTATAGCTATACAACACGGAGGTTTGGCCTAATTAAAGCCGGTTTCAACTTGCGATCATTATCGCGCGAATTGTCATTTTACTTTTGTTCCACAGTTGTCAAATTGCCCAAATCCAAAAGAATAAATTCGCTTCGAGCGAATAATATCACTATAGGAAAACCAGCTTACAGCCGGTTTTCCACTAGCGATATTTTTCGCGCGAAGCGACATTTTACTTTTGTTTCAAAGCTCTCAACTGCAACCATCTGGAACAAATTGCTCAAATACAAAGGAATAAAGTCGCCTCGCGCGAAAAATATCGCTAGTGGAAAACCGGCTTAAGTCGATAATGTTGTTGTTTTTAATCGCGCATACAGTAAAGCTATAAACCATATGCATGACGAAGAGTAAAATATCAAATATTATTGAATATACATACCATTACATTGGTGGATAGCAAAAAGTGAACCCATGATCATAAGAAGAAAGCTCTGCATCTTGTGAAAGCTAATCAGGAAACGTTAAATGACTCGGCGGTATAACACTGGAAACGGTAGTTTTATTCAATCAACGAATATGGCTTAGTGATTTATCGCAATGATGTTTTAACCTACTTTATGTACGTCAACAAAACTTTATAACTGCATGCATATAAGAAACGAAAGGCGACAAGAAATGCGACATGCATTCAATATAAAAATAGTAATAATAATTCGGTATTCGGGAGACAATTGCCTATACAATTAAAGTCAATATTCTGGCTAATATATGCCATTGTCAGCAAAGCGGCAATATATCTGACTGGACCCATAGTCGAATTACGTATCTAGCTTACGCCTACAGTGAAATTAATTCATGCTTACAGTTAACTTAAAGTTATCTCGAAATAAAGCACAAAATTCAGAAATGCTAATAGTAGACGATCATTTTATTATCAGCCATATAGAGAGTTCATAGCCCCGTTTACACTACGCTCGATTTATCGGCACGGCACCGGACAAAATTTGGTACTCGTGCCCATTTCATCCGTGCCTGGCGAGACTACTCTTTAGTCCTCATTAGCGCGCCTTGAATTATTGTGACGAGAACCGGTTTGAACGCGCGGGAGAGGACTAGCACAAAATGTTTTTAATTCTTTCATTCTAACCCTCCAGGACCCTGACTAAACGTAGGCAGTCTAATGATTTAGTCCCGCTTCAAGTTGTAAGAATTATTGATCTCTTAAAAGATTATTTTCAAAGAAAATTGACACAGTTTATTTGCCGAATTTCTGCTGTCTTCTTTAGGCTGGTGACGTGTGACTTCGGCCTCAATACTAAAAAGAAGCTAGTCGAAATGTCCAAATTGAAATAAAGCCAAGAGTTTTGCGCAGTTTAGAACGTGTATGGACCGGTATTGTACATAAACTTACCTTCTTAAAAAGCTGCATGGTTGAGCCGACTGGGCTCTCTCTTCTTTCTATACTGATTATTTTATTATTATTATTATTATTATTTGATGTTTAATAGAACTTTTTTGTGTTGAACATTAAAATATTAGCATAGCGGGACAAATCGACAGGCTGGCTACGCTACTGGAACCGCTATCAACTGTGATAGAACAAATGTGATGTTATGAAAAATACAACAGAACGTTTATAATATTCTTGCAAGTTTGCATGCATGGTGACCTCAAATAAGTAAATTAGCTTGAATCAAGGCCCATGCGGGGTAACGGACCGAAAGCTTTCCTGCATTAAATACTCACATGGTGTACCTTACCTACTTGCAAGCTAATTTACTTAACAAAACGTTTGCCAATAAATTTTGCATATGACTTGTTATATGTCTTGTTTGAAAGTCATTTGCTGGGCTAATTTTTCATTTTTGACTTACGCTTTGCGTCTGGTGTTTTAATCGAAGCTGATTAACACAAATTTTAACACAATTATAGTTGCCACCTTAGATTAGTAGTTCGGTTAGGAAAACGTTGCAAAACAACTTTTCTATTATTGGGGAAAGAGGTAGGCAAATGCAAGTTATATTCTGAGGTCGCTCTATACCGATCAGTGCCCAAAATTTGCAACAAGCGCGTCTTTGTAATTGTACTGGTGTTAAGTTACGTCAGCTGTGTACTAGTTAACCAATGATTGATAGTTACTCTCTGCATCTCGTATAGTTTTCAACGTCATATACTCTGAATTTTCCTCATCTCCTTCTCTCGATGTCGTTAGTTCAGCGTAAGTTGAATCATCTTCGCTTGCTGCTTCTTCTTCGGCAACGAGATTTTCATGTGCATTAACATTCGTGGGAACTGTATCTTGTGGTGTGGTTGTATTTATATCGGTGGCGTATGGTTGGCACCTTTTCCTCTGCAAACACTTCCAACAACATATAGCAAGGAGAATCCCAATGATAGCTGCGCATACCAGTGTGACGATGGGCACAATGTCTATTGCACTTTCTATAAACCATTTTTATAAAACATGTTTTAATATCATATACATGTAGATGGTTCATTACAAAGAAAAAAAAGAATAAAAACGTGCAGTATTGTTTCTCATTATCAGAAATTATCATGGCACAAAGGGTTCTTTTAGAATCAAAACTATTTTAAATTACAACGAATCATATATACTGTGTATGCTCAAGGCCTGGAGTTGTGTAAAAAGTCAATTGTAAATATATATTTGCCAACGATAAACATTTAACTTCGCAACAACGTTTATTATAAAGGCTTTTGGCAGAAGAAGCTCTTAGAACGAACTTGCAGTTAAAAAAGATAACGATAACGATCGAATAACTTTGTTCAATACGGAAATAATTGAAATGTCAATTATAAATTGGGGGGGGGGGGTTCACACAGACAAGTAAAAATCTTCGAATGTAGAGCATTGAATAAGTTCACTAGCAATTAATGCATTTACTTTGTGCTTCTGCTCCATTGCTAGGACTTGTTGGCCCAGAAGTCGTCGAGAAAACTAAAAAGTAAAAATAAGACTTTTGTTATCCGGAGAATCAGTTTGTGTATACGATTTATACGCCTGGATGTTGTGTTATTATATTACCTGATATTGTTGAGTTTGTTGACACAAACATGAGGATCTCCAGGTTTTAGGTACGTATGTATGATATTTGTGTACAGAGCTCTAGTTTATTCTGTGAATCACATATTTACACAAAAACGTCGTACCGATATAGCGTGAAGTGCCGACCTTACACCACACGCCTTTATATTTGGCACCCACTTTCACAAACCACTTTTTGCGGTGAAAGGGACCGCAATATGGGCAATTGTTGAACCCTGTATTTTATACATTACTCTGAATAGGTGGTTGTCGGCTACTCCCTCCTTCTATATATATAGTGCTAAGCTGATGCAAACATATTGTGCAAACCCCGGTTATATCCGTGTTTACACTACAAACCGAGGTCTGGCCTTGGCTGCATTATGCGGCTTTTCAAGTTATTTGTAACATGGATCGTTTCCAAATTACAATTTCTTAAGGCTAGTTTCCACTCAGGAAAATTCTCCTTTGGATCGGACAGGACAGGAAAATTTCCTTTTTCGGTGAGTTCTCAGGCGGCGTTTATACAAAGGAAACTTTCCTGTCCTGTCCGATCCAGAGGAGAATTTTCCTAAGTGGAAACTAGCCTTTAGCCCTTTTGTGGTAAAGAGCAGGAGATGCTATATAGTGTTTTGCTCGACGACAGACTTGTAATTCTATATTGTATATAAACAAGATACCATCATTTCATACACCTTCTATATGTATTCATATCTCATAATTCCAAACTGTTTTTTCCCTGTCGGGCGCGTGGGAGGCTCATGGCATGTTTGTTTATGTGAAACCAAGGACTCGTTCTTTGTCACCCGCTTTAGTTCCATAATACAATAGGAAGCTTTAGGTTAATGAGTAGGAGGTATTTTTCATCTCTTTCGAAAGCAAGGCGAGTCGCATGCACGCGTACTCTGCTTCATCAGCAATCGCTGTTTTAACTGGAAGAGTTTTAAAATAACTAGAAATACTTCACAGTCGAATATTAATTTTTCATAATTTTGATTCACGCTCTACATGCATGCAGAATGAGAAACTGTACCATGCCGAAGTGTGTCCTATAATTATATAATTAGTCGTCGCTGTTAAGTTTTTAATCACGCAGTGAAGGGTAACCAACATTTGGAGGATTGCGTAATAGCTCTGCTAATCCTGTAGCCAGATATGGAGCGGATCCAAGACGACATAGCTAAAGGTAAAAATGAATTGAAACATACCTTTGCCTCCGTGGAAGACGAAAAGCGGACCCATTATAAAAAGGAAGCTCTGCATCATGTGAAAGCTATAGTCTTGAACGACGTTAAAAATCCAGTTACACTCGAACCGGCAGTTTATATGATATATACAATTTAGTTTATATATTGTGTTTTACGCACAGTGCAGTCATTTATCGCAATCTCCTTCCTACATACTTTAGAGCGCCAACGCATTATAAAGGAATGGACATGAGCAACATGCAATATAAGAATAGCAATAACAATGCGTCAAGTATTCAGGAGACACTGTCATTACAATGTCAATATTCTGGCTAATATATATTATTGTAAAGTTTAAAAGCGGCAGTGGTTGAGGTATTGAATTTTACGCTTTAAAAGCCTACATGCATAGGTACGTAAAGACCGGATAGCTAAGAAAGATGCACCGCTCACTTCTAAGAGCTCAAAGAAGTCTTCTATTTCAAGCGACATTCGACCAGTGCGTGGTGGTTATGTCAGTGCTAGCGCTAGTAACTGCATGATATATATTCAAGGCTAGTCCAATCCTATGTGCGCTTATACGCTACAAAATAAAGTTAAAAGCTACAGGCCTAGCTTAGCGTAAACACGGCTATAAAAATAGCCCTAGCATAAAGCTTTTGAAATTATGCTATAGCCCTGGAAGCTAAGAAAGATGCAAGACTCACTTCTCAATGACTCGAAGAAGTCTTCCATTTCACGTGACATTCGGCCCGCAGTGCGTGGTCAATAGGAAAATATTTTATGTCGTTTAAAGGGCCCCCAACGCTCTATATTGGTCCTTCTGTTTCGAACATATTCTTTCATACATAAGATATTCTAAGTTGTGACATCTCCTTCGTTATATTCGAGCAGGCGAAGCACCCTCAAAATTATTCCCGGTTCAAGTTTTTTCACTGTATAGTGACACCAAGTTATTTGAACGACGAAACGTACGGTTGGTGTTTGATGCTCCTACTGTACATTTTCTTTCTATTCAGGCAAAATGTCGCCATCTTTGCCAGCCAGAACCTGGTGACGTGTGACTCCGGCTCGATACAAAGAATAAGTACAAATGTCCAACTTGAAGTTAAGCCAAGAGCTTCACACAGTTTAAAACGCGTATGGGTCGGTAATGAACAATATAACACAAACTTGCACTCTTTAAAAGAGCTGACAAGAATTTTCGAGGAGTAAAAACCTTAATAATCTCTGGAATAATTAATAAAACTTTAATAATCTCTAATTTTAAATTTTAAATTTTCAAAATTGTTAATCTCATTCCCATTGAAATTTGATTCGCCGAAAATGAGGGGTCCCCGCCTCATTGTGAACGTCCCGCCCCCTAATTGTTCGAGAACTTATTTCTCAAAAGCTCTAGAAAATTTGTATCTCATCACGTTGGTCATATTCGGCAAATTTTCTCCCGGTAAAGAGGGCTCAGTTTTCCAGCGGTCTTCGCATAAAAAATTAAAAGCTTTTCGTTTTACGCTCTGCTCTCAATTTTGCGTAAGTTGTCCGCTGACAACATGAGCCCGCACGAGTGGGAGAAACTTAGCTAAGTTGGACCAGCGTGCATGGTCAAAGAAGACCAGTTTGCAAAAAAACTCTAATCTTGTGCAAATCTCCAGCATTGAAGAACATTATATATTTCAGAATTTTAAAAGCCCTAGAATTCTAAATTTGGCGGTGAGGATTTCGCTCAGCGGTGAGCAAAGGTTCAGGGGCAGTCTTTGATACGGCTTTGTGTGCTTCCCCTGACGAGTCTGAGGAAAAATATTCGTAAATATGCACTTTTGTCACTACAATTAAGGTGGCTCCCTACAGCTTCTTGAAATTTTTAGATGCGCATTTTAAATAAGGAGATTAGGCATCTATAGACCAATTGCGAAACTTAGTAACCGCGCCTTCGCTCAACATGGAAACGAGGCTTATTATGCAAAAAACAATATTTGTATTTTTTGCAGTACAAAGCTATTCGCCGAGTTATATGCCGTTTTTCGCCTTTGTTTTACATATTTTTCGATATCTTTCAGCTTGGTTTCATCGTTGTTATCATAGTTTTCAGGTCAGGAAGTTTTGCCTTTCAATTGAGGCGTTTTTGTGGTGTTTTCATTAATCTTTTCGGCTGCTTTCGTCGGGGAAATATAGAAAAGGCCGACACAAACTCAGGTAAAAGTTTAGTTTTTCCAAACTATTTCGTCTCAAGTTTTGAAAATGTATTTCATTTTTCTCCCTCTTATTTGTGCAAAATTTGGCGATATATATTTGGTGCAAAATCTATGTTTTTTATGTCAAAAATTATTGAAAAGTCACGATCGAACAAACCACCATGTTCACACTTCTCATCTAAAATTTTTTTATACCAATTTTATCGATCGATAAGATGTAATTTGACAGCAATTTTTCATTTCAGCAAAAAAAATAGTAGAAATCTCTTGACAAAAACTATAAGAGATAAAATAAGCATGTTTTATGTTTGTTTTCCCTGTGTATATAGACTACAGAGTACAGTACATGTGATGTGATGCCGACTGAAAAGCAAAATAACTCTTCAACTTGGCACACATGCATGACATGGATAGTAAAATACTTATAACCAAAACATAATATCATTGTCTATTTTGAATTGCCATTTGAATATTCCTTTCCCGGCAATAACATACTATAAAGGTAGCCACAATGCGAGCTGCAGCGTTTTTTAAGATACACCTTTACATGATGGCAAAGCCGAAAGCGAAAAATATTTAAACCGGAGTTCGCAAGTGTTTTTCCGTTTACGATGGTGAACGGGATCCTTTCCTTTTCAAGTATTCCTGGTTAACCCTTATTAAACATCTATTGCATGGTAGTAGATAGAAAGAATAGTGTTTTGTACTAACAAAAATGCGGTAGAATTCAGATGCAAACTCAGATGCATTCGAATTTGACTTTTATAAAATTCGGCCTTCAGGCCGGCATGCAAGCTATGCATCGTCTGTACTTTATTAAAACGAAAATAAACAAAAACATTTCAGTCAGTTACTTTTGACCATTTTAACAGTATTACTGTGGTATAAAGAAAAAAAATACAGTGATATTTGTGAATAAATTTGAATAAATGAAGCCATTTCAGTCATCAGGTTTGAAAATTATATAATCTGACTGTCACTTTTCAATAATTTTTGACATAAAAAACATAGATTTTGCACCAAATATATATCGCCAAATTTTGCACAAATAAGAGGGAGAAAAATGAAATACATTTTCAAAACTTGAGACGAAATAGTTTGGAAAAACTAACTTTTTACCTGAGTTTGTGTCGGCCTTTTCCATACTTCCCCGACGAAAGCAGCCGAAAAGATTAATGAAAATACCACAAAAACGCCTCAATTGAAAGGCAAAACTTCCTAACCTGAAAACTATGATAACAACGATGAAACCAAGCTGAAAGGTATCGAAAAATATGTAAAACAAAGGCGAAAAACGGCATATAACTCGGCGAATAGCTTTGTACTACAAAAAATACAAATATTGTTTTTTGCATAATAAGCCTCGTTTCCATGTTGCACGAAGGCGCGGTCACTAAGTTTCGCAATTGGTCTATAAACGTTTCACAAGAAGACTAAAATTTTATAGCTATACCTCTCATGCACCATATCTAAAGCCGAAATTTATTCACAACTTGTGCTTGGCAGCCGTTGCTTTAGCAACAGAGAGGTTTCAAAAAACGTTATTTTAGCCCTTTAGCCCTAAAAATTGCACTAGACAAAATTTTTTTAAAACTCCATTTTCAGCTATGAGTGTAAAATTTTGATAGGGTGAAGCAGCTATATGATGTAAAATTTTGATGAAAAAAAAATTGGGGGGTCACCAAACTCGTTTGCGATATAAATATTTCCAGAAACTGCAGGGAGCCCGGCCTAAAGCTTGTAATCTCATATTTTAGCGGCACTATTTTTTGAATAGTCATGCAGCTTCGACGAAAAATCCACTGAAACGGAATTCAGTCGTGAGCTGCATCGCTCATCCGCATCTGTTAGGATGAGCGATTGTAAATTCCCAGATGCCTAAAAAATTTATTGTGTTTAAGATCAATTTTAGAATATTATCATTAAGGCCTGAAAGAGGCATTGCCATGCAGTCTTGTCTATGATCATGTTTTTAAACTTTTCATGTGCTGAATCTAGTAATGTTATTAAGCTAAGCTCTTTCCATTTAACTCCGCACATGAAAACTTCCACGTCTCAAACAGGCCTCAGTTACAGGTGTATAACACCAGTATACACAATTAAGATGCAACTATCTGCATGGCAGATCAATTACCTGCAGTGCATATAAATTGGATTAAAAATAATTGACGATTTAATTGACACGACTTACCGGTATCTAAAATGTGCGTGAAAGTTCCTTTGTAAATATATGGTGATATCAGCGATCAAGTCAGCGCCTATTTGAAGTTTTTGCAATTGATCGTGCAGTATAGCACCCTTTGTGCAGTATAGGTATGAAGGTATGCAGTGTTGAATGCATTACCAGAAATTTGTGACATGGTGATTTGCATAAAAACTAATTTGCATATAACTTTCAACAATAATAGCCTTTAACTTTTACTATAAAATATACATATGGCAAAAGATTGAAAAGAACAACACCTTATCGTTATCCTGGATGTTGCCCACTGCTTGCCGACCTCTGGATCGATAGAACAGCCGTTTTAGAACGCTTTGCCTTTGATAATTGAATTGCGTCGCGTCAATTAAATCGTCAATGATTTTTTATCCAAATTGTATACACATGCCGGTAACTGATCTGCTATGCACATAGTTACATTTTAATTGCCGTATACACCTGTAACTGAGGCCTGTTTAAGACATGCAAGTTTTCATGTGCGGAATAAAATGCAAAGACTTTAGCCCGACTATAACCTGAATTGTTTCCATTTTTGCATGTGTCATCAGACCTACAGTAATTATTTATAAGACTTTTTAACTCAAGGAAAGGCTAAGATATATTTTCAGAAACACTAAAGTGCATCTTATTACGCAATAACTAATGATATAATTGGGAAACTTAAAATATACACAAGATCAAGGAAGTTAAACTACAAAAGAATCTTTGTCCATGACAAAAGATGCATGGAATGTATGTTATTATGCTATATATGCTTCACTATGCCAAAATCATATTTTGCCAGTTGGTGACACATCATTTATACAATTGGCGATTGCATGTTTGTGCTTCCGAAACAGGTAATTAAATATTTGAATATTATAAAATTGTGAATAAAAGCCCGAAGCTTTCGGTCAATTATATGTTCACATGCCACTGCGTTGAAATATAAATTATAATTAAAATTTTACTAGAAGTGGTACTTTGCTGGGAAGTTTGCGAATATATAACGCTGCCAGCTCGACGACTCGCTTTGAAAACAAGGAAATATCTTCGCGACACAAGGTATGAACTCGTGCAATAATAACACGCAGCGTTAATTGCATTCTTATGGTTGTAATGTGACATGTCGGTACAGGCGTTTTTTTTATCATAATATAGAAATTAACGTTTGCGTGGTCGATAATTAAAACACGCTTTTCAAAGTAAAGAGAGGCTAGACAGCATATAGCTACAGGCAATTGCCGTCGCTTATGAAGCAAAGTTTTGACCGTGCTGTCGGCTGATAATAGATTGCGTTGTAGATCATAAGCTCTCTGCTTCGATCTATAAGATAAAAGCCGTTCTTTCATCTCTGGAACGAAAGCTTTTTTTCCTTTATGCATCTAATGTGAACATGATCTATCAGCTAAAATACTCTTTAGAAATTCTTCCCAATCCTCCCGTTTATGATCCTGCATGGGCAATACGATAAAGTCATAAAGACATGCACAATATATTATTCGAACGTAAGTAGCAGGTATAATATAGTGTTGTGAGGAATGTGAATAATCCCAACGCTGAGTCTTCTTTCATTTTTCTTTGATTTCTTTAAGGCTGGTTTTCATGCGTATTTAACATAATTTTATATCGTTATGATTCGTCGCAATTCTTACGTGGTACTAAATTTGCTGTAATTTGCTGTATGCCTAGTTTCCGTGTGTATATATATATACATAGTTTTAAATATCAAGGTGGCTGATGTGATAGAATTTTTCTTTGTATATGCTGTCCAACATGCAGAAATCGATTTGAATGCAAAAACAAAGACAAATTCACATTCGGACAATTTTTGTCGTACGATTTTAGTCGATCTCACCCAATTTGTGACGAAACGCGTGCAAAGCTTTCTTTGTCACGCCGACCGGATGAATGTTAAAACTAAAAATATATCTTTTAGTATAAAGAGAAAAATCAGCGAAGACGAAAATCGAATTCGTGTTATATCACATTGGGTATATACTATGCATTGATGTACAACACAATAGAATGTTTTAGATACGTTGGGGGTATAATACAATACAATAACAATGTATAAACTAAACTGATGTACAATACATGCAATACAATGTATAAACTAAACTGATGTACAATACAATACAACGGGTTTTTTAATTGTGCATGTAAATGAATTATAATAGGTATACCGTATAATTATTACTGATTATTACATAACGGTACATGTGGAGTACTGATTCCATTCAAGGTCGAATTTCATCTTCCTGTTATTATTTCGTATGTTTAGGCGAGGGCGGATTGATCACGAACGGAAGTCGATCATACATTATATAAATAATACAAAGCACCTGGCCAAGAGAGAAATAGACCAAGAAGCTGTCGGTCAACAGCTAAACGACAAGGCGTATCACAATGGCAGGATTATTCATTTGTTTCTGTTCTTCAATTTGGTTTATAAGCGGTATACAGAGCCAGTCTATGATTACCACCATTTCGCAAAGATCGATATCCACATCGGTACCGACTTTATTAAAAATATCAAGTACGGTTGTACAACCCGTAATATCATCGGTCGATAATGCAAATTCATCTCGGAATTCCACGGATGGTTTTATAAATAAACCCAATGTATCATTAGGAGGTTGGTATATCTCTGTGTTTTTATGCTTTGACACTATACAAACCAAATGCCAGACTGTATATATGCGACGTGCGTTTACAGACTCGCAAGTAATAAAGTATGTGGCATTCACTTATTTGTCTATACGTGCCACAATTTTCTACATGAAACTCTAGTCTTATCCACCTCCTACCCAAACAATCATGCAAAATATATTCACGACGTAATTTTAACAAGGACAAGTATAACCCGAATTAGCTAAGTATATATATATATATATATATATATATATATATATATATAATTATATATATATAATATCAGTAATTCTATTAGCTTTGGTAAGACCGTTAGATATTTAAATGCATTTATAAATATATACCTCGTTATATTGCTTTGACCTTTGACGACGACTGTAAAGCATGCTTATATTGCTTCGAGTCTTCGACCCTTGACCCTTCGATTGGCGACGATTGTTAAAATCTCTTTCAGATAAATATTAAAAAAAAACAGCAGCGTGCCAGCCTTACGATTTAGTCCCACTATGCAAATAAAAATACGAATGTTCATTGCCCGTGAAAGCATTCAATTTCCAAATAAATAAACATTACTATAAGGACGGGCAAATGCGGCCGATGCGCCCAACGTGACGCAGCATGCATGACGCTAATTTTCAGGTATATTTATAAGGACTTGCTAACGGCAAACGAAGCTGTCGGCAACGTGTTAACCAAGCCTTATTTGCTACTAAAGGCGATTCTCCATTACGTTCGCTCCGCCCGCGCGGGCGAAGCGCGCTTTGTTTTTCAGGCCGGTCACGGTCGCATAGGCAGAATTTCAAAGGCCGCTTCGCCCGCGCGGGTGAGGCGGTCGGTAATGGAGAATCGCCTTAAATTGATAGATTTCGTATAATCCTTCAAGTCCCCGGCATTAAAAGTCTCTGTTGTCTTTTTTAACTTCTAACTAAAGGCGATTCTCCATTACCGTCCGCTTCACCCGCGCGGGCTAAGCGGCTTTTGAAATTCTGCGTATGCGACCATGACCGGCCGGAAAAACAAAGCGCGCTTCGCCCGCGCGGGCGGAGCGAACGTAATGGAGAATCGCCTTAAAAGTTGACTCGTTCCGATCGCATTCCGGTACCGCCCGTGAACGATGGAAAATGTACTTCGTGAATCAGAATTTGCATGCTATGAACGCCAGATAAGGTAAGTAATATTCATGTTGACAGGATATAAAATTTATTGACCTTTGAAAACTGAGAAACGTCTCGGTTTGTGTGGGCAAAGGGCGGATTTCCGGTGTCGCGTATTTTGTTTACGTAATTGCAAGCACGTAAAAGTTTAATATCATTCAATTCATTCAAATGATACCTATACAAAACTAATGAAAAGAATATATAGGGTTCAGCTTTGTTTATATGATTTAGTATAAATGCATGGGATTCTGAAATATCACATTAGATCAGAGGCGGATTCAAACTGAGCGAATACATCTGTCAAAAGCACCAAAAATGAAATACGTAATTGGCATTTGGCAGATTTCTTCGGTAATTGATAAAAGGAGAATAGTCAACGAATAGTGCGAATAATAGTCGACGAATAGTCGACGAATAGTGCAAATAGTCGACGAAGAGTGACCAATAGTGCGAATAGCCGCCGATATAATGGTAATTTTAAAAGCGATCAACTTCTTTCTTTTTATATATTTATTTTAATGACTATTCGCACTATTCGTCGACTATTTGCACTATTCGTCGACTATTCTCCTTTTAGTGTACTCGATCAGGATATCTATGGTACATGAAAAGGAATAAAACAGACTGCCACAGTAAAATTCAGTGAAGGTCGAATATACCGCATTATTCGGTATATTCGACTAGGTAAGGTGGAATGTTCCCGAATGCGGGTATCGTCCATCTTGGTAAGGTCGAATAAGGCTTAAATATTGACTCCTAGCTCCAGAGGTGGTGCGGTATTTGAAAATATCGCATCAGCCAGCTAAAATGCGGGATCCGCATCCGGTTGATAGACCCAATTCAATTTATTGCATCTGAAAACATAAAATTCGCGTTGCGTTGGCGAATCGCGTCCGATGCGTGGGACCTCAAAGGCTGATATTGCTTTTTAATAATTTCTCGGTGTACGCCGAGAAGAAAATGGCACTTGAATCGAAGCTACTTTTGTAATGATATCAGTGACAATGGCGTTAACATTTATAACATTGTTGATATTTTGAAATAACTCTTTTGTTTGCTGTTTTGCAATCACCAAAAACGGTTCAAAACTTAGTTCACAACATAATCTAAAGAATAAAGTTAAAATAAATTAATTTTGAGTGGTACGCCGAAAAGATTTTTTGTCGTGAACGTTTTTACTGCCCGCCAAAATACGCGACAATAAAAACTCTCCTCTAAACCCTATTTCTTATTTTTATCCGCATGACATAATGGATAATTATGTGAATTCAATTTCGCATTTCCATTCCCGCGGGCGTAATTAAAATCTCTGGGCGGAATGGGTACTCTTGCCCACCGGCTCGGGGACAAGCATAAGATAATTTTAATTGATTAACTTATATGATCTTATTTTGTATTATTGCAGAAATATCAAGGACAGTCGTGAAGCCTGATCCTTCATCTCCACTTAATCCACAAGTTTCAAGATCAGCTCAAGCTCCAACATCGGGGAATGTTACTACACCCATATTAAATACAACAGTTTCGACTGGCGGTGGTTCTACAACATTTCCCACAAAGCTAAGTACTCAACAAATCGCCACCACAACTCTTTTTACCCGTCGAACCACGACAGGTACGTTAGAATTATTATATTTGACGAGTCACAGTTACATATAGATACGATTATACATGGTTTGGAGACTAAATAAAATACAATACAACTTATTAACCATTTTATTGTTGAACATGTGAGTTGTACTAAGTTGTACATGTGCAATGCATGTAGCTAAAATTACACGATACCATTATTTTAAAATTTTCTAATTATGAGCATAAAATAGTTGCGATTATTTAGCCCATTACTTGATCTATATTCAAGTTATTCTTCATTTTAACATAAGTTGCACTGAACAGAGAGCTCTGCATAGGACAAATATATTCGCGGTACTTCTACAAATTGATGATTTAAGTTCAAAACACTTTTCTCACAAGGTTTGGATACATTTCTCTGTTCACAATTTCTGTATTTTTTAGGTCCTCAAGGAACAGATATACCAATCGATCTTCCTTGTCGGCCATTTTACAGCAAAACTAATCTGCCGCAAGACAGCATAGACATGGCACATTTTCAAATGCATCCTTTCTATCCCTTAGTGTACACCTACTGCTCTGTGAATCTTTTACTATTAATTTGTTCCGTTCATCTTCCTGTGTTCGACATCGTTTCCAGCAAGATTTTACCACCGTGTTCGGATTTGTGTGATCAGGTCTCGATGGATTGCAGTTATGCAATTAGGAAATTGAAATTCCCAATTTCGACTTTATTACAACAATGTTCGTCCAAGTCCACTCCAGGAAATACCACAAATACAAAATGCTTCCGTAAGTATTCGAGTTTTTTTTCGACTCCCAAAATTGCCTCATGCATTGGCACGTTAGTGCGGATAATTAGAACAACAATCGTTTTTCATGTCCACTTGACTTTATCAATTCAAATGAATGCATGTAAGGGTAAATTGGATGGTCGACGAAATGCAGAGATGACGATGGTTTATAAATTAACGTGAAATAATATTAATATTTCATTTTCCAGTGCCAAAAGCTACGCCTGAAAGAAAAGGACCTAGTGAGTATTTCAACATCTGTCATGTCTATGGTTACCAATCTGCTACAGGAATAAGAGTATTTCATGCAGTGTACCCTAATAAACAACTGGAACGATACCCCCATAAAGTATTTTTTGTGAAGCCAAAACTTGCGCGACCTCAGGATACGCGCGTAAGGAATATTAGAACCAAGAATTAATATAAATATTTCTGCCCCATTAACCAAAATTAAAAGTAATAAAAGTAATGATAAGTATTTGGCAAGAGAAGTTTTTAGGTCATATTCACAAGTGCGATGCAACCTACGTTTCTGGACTCAAATTAGTTTAACCTTCTCTCCGCATTTTTAATTCATTTCATAGATGTATCATGCTGCTTTGATGTGAAACCGCAGCCATTTTGTAACACCTCAACATTTGTACAATCATCGCTCAATCGTTCTCAACAAGATGAAGTAATTTTCAACTTGAGCACGATGTATCTTCCAATATTTCATGCCCTGGAATCGTTGAACCAACCAGTATGTGCAGCAAGGTTATCAGATTATCTTTGCCTAAAGAAATTCCAGTATTGTGTGCCAGGAAGTAAAAATGGAGGATGTTCCGGAGAAATTTACAAACCATTCCGTGAAAATTGTTTGTTCTTCGCAGACAATTCGTCACCTTGTTCTATACATCATATCAACACTATTCTTCAAAAAGCTGGCTATAATATTCAAATAATGACGACAGATTTTGACTGCTCGACATTACAGTCCATTACGTCTGAAGCAGAAGAGCTTTCGCAAAATATTCTACGATTTACAAATGGTAATGGTATAGTAGATATAAAAAGAGTGAAGTCCAGACTTGACTTGCACTACTATACTGTTGTTACCTCTCGTTATCATATTGTACCCCATGTTTCGTTTATCTAATAGATTTATGTTTCTTAGTTGATTGGAAGCCGGTATACTCGTGGTGGAAGTAAAATCTTAATTAGTATAATTATAAAATAATGCTAATTTCGAGCAACGAGGGGTCGGTGGTTAGGCAGAACGAGACCACCAGGAAACGCTAATAAAACAATGTTACTCTGCTAGTTATGTCCCTCGCCTTCACACAGACAGTAGATTACAAGCTAGACGATACTTCGAACAGGGAAACGACGGACGATTGAAAATATTGGGGAAAAGTATCCGAAATTTTTTATCAATTGCTTCTTGAAATCGGCATTTTGTCAGTTTTATCGAGAAATATTAATTGAGCTCAAATTTCTTAAAAATATAGTGCTAGTTAATTCGTATAACTGGAACTAAGAGTTGCAGGGAGCTGCACTTTGTGGAATCATGCGTCTCCAGTTCCGTTTCCAGCTCGAACAAATGTAAAATTGATTTCCATATCCATATTATTTAAGGTGGCTCTCAGTTGAGAGACGAGTTTTGACGTTATTATTGAAAGTGTCTATTCTAAAACTAGGTTACCTGCAAGGTAGAGATTGCTGCGAGCATTTTAGGGTCCAAGTGAATTGTTATATGAAATGTTAGTAAACTAAATCCGTTTTAACTAATAGCAATAGCAGGTTTAAAAAACGCAAAGTGAACCTCTATTGAGCATTAACTCGCTGGGGCTGTACATGAATTAACACCTATTAGCGAGAACACTGTCAATGACGTCAATATTTAGGTCAATATATGCTATATCAATGCTGTCTTGCGAGTTGCAGCTCGTTTAATCAAAGTCTTTAGAAGCAGCTAGTTTTAAAAATATTTTAACATACGAATCACAACAGGAGTATTAACACTAATAGTAATATTAGGTAGAATTTTGCGCGCGTAGCGACATTTTCCCCGCGAAAATACAGGCCCAGTAGCACATGTTTAACAAAATAGAACATTTTTTGGTAACATGGATATTTGTTTTTTAAATATGCTATTTGTCTTTGTTGTGTCCATGTAAATGTTTGACTTCATGTGAAGAGTAACAAAACATCACTTAATACTTTGAACTTTGAACGCGCTCGAGAAGATGTGTAATCAGAAACCACGTGAAGATCCGGTAAAAGCACTAAATAACAAAAACATTTAGCTCATTGTAAAATAGGAATAAAAACATATGCCTATGCTTACAGTAACCTAATTTTAAATAAGTCAAACATTTCACGAATCTGAGCGATCCAGTCAGGCAATTTAGACGATCAATTCAATTGCATATTTTATCTGCGACTGTGTCATGTTATTAAACACGACTCGCAAGCGTCAAGCCGCATACTTAAAATATCATTTGATGCAAAATATGGAAATCAGCAAAAGAATACAAATGTCAATGGATAAAAAAGACTTTAAAGCATCTGTAAGTAAGATTTGATTTGCTTCACAGCTCTGACAGCTCAACTGCTAAAGTAAAGCGAATTAGCAAATTGGATAGTACATCTTAATATTCTAGAATGATTTATATAGTTCGTATATATACAGCATGAATCTAGCTGTGATCGATTGTATGCTTTTAGCGTTTCATAAATATACCAGTTAGAATTGTAAACAACTGTAAACGTAACATATGAACGAAAGATGAAAATATCTTACCTTGAATAGTCAAAATAGAACAGAAGCTTTGAAATTTAACAAAAATTTGAAGATCCTGTATATGAGCGAATTTAAAATGTGTGTTCTACGCATAAAAAACGCGCACGACCACAATTCCTTGCGCTAAATAAAATTTAGTTCAGAACCTCCTCTCTGCACAAATTAGACTGCTGCTACGCTCGCTCGCTTCAGGCTCGCTCGCTCCGCAGCAATCATTAAAATAATTTTACACTTCTATATTTTGTTTAACACCGAAAAGCTTTGAGCGGCTTCTGTGGCAGGGTTAAAATGGCAGGGTTAAACTTTTCATTTGAGCCGAATAGGACAAACATCTTTGAACCAGATGCGTACAATTACAGTGTTATTTATATGGAAATACATTATTCCATTGTTCGAGAAGTACAATTTTCTATTTCACATAAGCATAAAAAATACCTTTCTCATTAGATCGCCGAATTACAAATGGATTACGTATTCCACGATTAACAAATGTTGTGAAGCCAAGGGGAAGTGAAAGGACCGTACATTGGGACAGTTTACGAGACACGAAGGAGATTAAGGAATATGGAATATTATGGAGAAAGAGAGAGGGACCTGATTCTTCAAAAAATAATTACCAGCACAATCACACCACAAAAGAATATTATAAATTCAACGGTATTCCAACACTAAATTCACAGTACGAAGTGCTGTTAACGGCGATAGGACAGGATGGGATTCCGCAACCCTTTACCACAGTCGAATTGCCGCTAACCAACGGTAAGTCAAACTTCTCATCTCGATGATATTGGCCCGATTTATGGCTTTTTTGCAATCAGGAAAGTGATTATCCGGACTGGAATGAATCTTATTGTTTCTTTTCTGCTACGGACTGGACAGATAATCCGTCTCGAACGAATTTGGGCAAATAAATATTCGTGTATGTAAACACGCGGATCATCCGCATATATCGGAAATATCCGCAAAGTTCGTCTAGATCTATTTAGAAAATTTTACGGGAATATTTCGTCTTGCCGTTAGTTTGAATATGGAGTGGGGTACGTACTACGGAAAATTTATGGTCTAGAAGCTTAATTTCGGGGAGCGCAAATATTCATATATTCACCCGTATGCCTGACTCATTTCTTTTGACAGTGACTGTTTATTTTAACATGAATATTTGCGCATTCGAAGCGTGTATGCAAAACCTGAGTTTTGTAAAAATTCTAGATAGCAAGTTTGTTGTTGCGAATTAACACCAATATTGTCGACTAAAGATCAATAATACTTTTGATTCTATTGTACAGTACGTTAGGGCTGAGAAACTGTTCACAGATTAACTGTGAAAGCTTTTGCCATAGCAATGACGTTTCAACATGGCCGCCAACTATAATTTAATTGTAATTATTTCGTGAATCCTTCGGTCAATTTTTTTAAGACTGGAACGCTCACTCTGTCGGAAGTTTGAAGCAAAGATGGCGGACACTATATATATAGCCTTTCTTGTAGGTATGACCCAGATCTCCACGCGGAAATTTCCTATGTAAAATTGCGGCAATTATGATTTCACCTTTGAAATCTTCCCCAGAGCCCTGGATCATACCTAAAAAAAAGGCTTCATTGTCCGCCATCTTGGTTTCACTCATTAATGACGGAAAGTCAGATAGTGACCGTTCCAGTCTTATTTGAGCTTACTGATTGAAACTTCATTGTTGCCTTGCCAACGGCTTATAATTGGCTTCAATACGTTAAAGCTAATTTTAATCTATAATTTACAACATGGATGATTAATTCTACATCATCAAACCTGCATTCAACAATTTTCTCAAAACTCTAGGGAGCCACCTTAAGGAATCGAACGGTCCCAGCTAAGCAGTATCATTGACACAAAGAAAACTAATTGCAATTGAAATCTGCCTAAGTAATGAGCGTTTTATACGAAAATGCAATAGACCTAGTTTAGTTATAATGATACTCATTGTTTTTTCTAAAGATTATTGTCCGAGTGAAGAAGTTGGTTCACTGGAAGCATATGGAATTTTCCAGTGGCCAGAAACAGCAATCGGAATTCGTGCCACAATTGCTTGCCCTTATAACAATGACTCTATCGCGAGCCGTGATTGCCTTTCTACAAACCAAACAGAAAGTGGGGGTGTTTGGGGGCCGTCTTTAGTTACGGATTGCAAGTATATGGAGCAGCGAAGTGGAAATCTTTTCCTATTATCTCAGGTAACTAAATACCTTCAAATCCCACTTCAATTTCTTTCTGATTAAACTTTCCATCTTACAAGATTTTTATTGTTTTCAGAGAGAAGTTAATAGTAGCAACGTTGTGAACATCACTAAAGAGGTTAAAGAATGGTCTTCTACTAATCAAAACAACACTCTTAACCCTGGTGATATTGACTATATCGCTACAATATTAAACAGCATTGCGCTGGTGAAAGAAAAAGCAAACGAGGTTTGTGAATCATCCAATAGTAATTTCTTTTGGATAGAAGATAGGAAGTTGATCTTAAAGAAATAAAAATTTGGACAAAGGTGGTTGAAAATAAGACTGTGAGATACGTACAATTTCGATTCTTTGTGATTTGGCATACTAATTTTTAAGATACTTTAAGACTAATTTTTAAGACTTACAAAAGTTTTGCACAAGAATCGTATGAAATATCATATCGATTTTCTAGGTAGATTATCATGTCATATTTCTAACCATGTTTCTGATTGATAGCACCAGAATACACATTCACATTCACATTGATTGGATGAGTAATCATGCTTTTTAAATGCACGATTCTTTGTGAAATTATCTTTTGCTTCATGTTTAAACGTAGGTTCTCGACGACTTCCTCACAATCATAGACAATGTGCTGGATGCCCAACTTAAAAATATCGTAGAAAGTCAACAGAATCGAAACTCTTCATCGAGGTAATAATTCGAGACCTTTTAAATTGATAAAGCAGGGATATGTCATATGTGTGACGTGGGTCAAAACATTGCCTGAAATTAGTTACATAATGGCTGTCGCTTTTGTATTAATTTGCATTTCACCAATTCATATTTGCAATGTTTTTCACCAGCTCATATTTGCAATATATAAACTTGGAATCATCACAATCACGGATTTTGACAATGTTTCTGGACGTCAGATGAATAGAAAGCTTTTTGAAACATTTTTTAACATACTTTTTGCCTAGAACGATTATGCAGTCCACTGAATTTAAGAATATATATTGCTCTAAATATTGGTCTAAGTATTGCCCGTCTTTTCTCAACGAAATTTTTGTACGAATACGAATATTTTTTATTTGGATAGAGATAGTTTGAAATGGAAGATTCTCATAAAAAGACAATGATCAAATACCTAGGCAACGGCAATGTTTCTACCCTATATATTTTATAGTATATAGACGTTTAAGGTCTAATAATGAGCTTTCTTCCTTCTTAACTTTGCAGGATTGTTGAAACTTTAAATACGTTTGCAGAATCATTGGTTATTGGCCCGGAAAGCGAACTTCAGGCGGTGAAAAAAAACTTTGATATTAGCTTACAAACAGTGAAGCCACAGAACTTTAGCGGACTTAATTTTTCTGGCATTATCAGCAAAACAAATCAATCACAAACAAGAAATAACACTTCAAAAATACAGAGTAATGAAGTAACACAAGTCTTGTCGCCTTCACTTATAATTCCGCGAACAATATTCAACGAATCAACTGAAAAAAACAGATCCGCAAACCAGACCGTCATTTTTGTGCTCTATAGAGAAACAAAATTCTTTATATTATCATTGGCGGACACTACTAGGAGATCAAGTCGCTTGAATAGTCTTGTAATTTCCGGAAGTATTGAAGGGTTGTCAGTTTCAAATTTAAGTGTTCCAGTAAACATTGCACTACCAAGTATTGAAAGAGGCGAAACAAAAAGCATTCTGTGCTCTTACTGGGACTTCAGCATAGGAAATTGGTCGCAAGATGGTTGCAAGTTTGAACGCGTTCTTGAAGATGGAAGGGTGCTTTGTAGTTGCGACCATTTTACCAACTTTGCAATGTTGATGGTAAGATTCTTATAACCAATACTGTGTATACGTAGATATGTACTTTCCTAATGGTCTAGGTCATTGAAAATCACGATTTATCCTGTTTTAAAAAATTACAGGGATGCAAACTTAAATGTTCCGATCCGTAATCGATTCTGAATGTTTTTTTTCCTCAAAAAATTAGTCGATTGGCTTATTCTATTGTCTCATTGCTCTATTGTATTGTTCTCTATAATTAATAATTAATGATATATAATTATATGCAAAACTTTTTTCGTCGCTTTTCTTAGCAAACTAAAATTCTCAATCCTCTTCATTTCGCGCAGGATAACTCTAGACAATTGGCTCGGAGGTGAACTAAAAGTGGTGTATTCAGTTCGATCGTAGAAGTTTTATATTTATAGCCTGTATAACGTTTAGTACTGGAAAAGTTTTATTTATTTCAGGTTCAGCTCCGAGGCAAAAATATTTAAACTGGATAAAACTAATTCTGTCGTTCAAGAGTTAAAACCTATTTTGTTATCGTGTTCACAAAAATCGTCTACTTTCGACCAATGCCATTCGGGGTGTTTGGTTTGGGTATACTAAAGTGATTGAAGATTCCTACAAGTCTTTTATCACTCAGAGCAATTTGGCTTGTAATTATAACATGTCATGAAAAGATTTTCATATTTTTCAAAATAAAAGAAAAATACTTTAATTAATGACCTAGATCACCTTTTAAAAGTATTTCATATTTTCCAGTACCATTCGTGATTGTGCATGCATGGCTTAAACTTTTGTCAACTTCTACAACTTGTAATAATTCGAGGATCCAGTCTTACGTAAACATATTGGTATAGAAAAAAGGTTTTGAATTTTTTTATTCTTAGGACATAGCTCCAGGAGAGAAGACTGCACATGACAAAATACTTGGTGTAATAAGTTACATCGGCTGTGCGCTCTCATTGGCTGGGCTCATCTTGACAATATTTACGATACTAATTTTGAGGTGAATATCGAATTTTATCGAAGCATATTTTAAACTGTTCAGTTTATGAGTTGAAGAAAACCGAGGCAATATTACAAAAACGGTGTCTAATGCAGGTTTTCCACAAGCGATATTAAGGACCTTAAGATACACCATGCAAATGTATACGACGCGGACGTGAAATGATATAACTAATGATATTACTCTCACAAGGCACGTGCAAAAATGGAAAACATCCTTCTTCAAAACATGCATGAAAAATATTTTCATTTTGACAAATAAGTTTGAAAATAAGCCATAACACAATAATAAGCCTTGCGGTCTTGGCTCAAAATAAAAAAAATATTTTTAAAGCATGTGTTTCATGAAGAAGGATGTTTTACATCTTTGCACGTGGCTCGTGAGAGTAAAACTTGAAATACATTTCATTTTTAAATTAAAATACTCTGACATTAAAATGTTGAGACATAATTACCAAAACGGTCTATTATCTGGAACAATTTACAAAAAGACAAACGAATTATTTCTCTTCGCTGCTTGAAAACTGATCGCTGCTAGAGAAACCAATTATGTTTCTTAATAGCATAGTTCTCAGGGTGTCTTTTATATCTTTTCCGCGAGTCGAATTACCAACTCATATGTAAGGGCCTGAAGGCTGCATTGTCAACGCGCTTTTACTTTACTTATTCTCAATGCGATTTTGCAATTTTGCAAGTTCAACAACTATAATTTTCAGAAAAAGTAGAAAACATTTAGGACTTCATACTCTCGGCGAGGTTTTGAAACTTAAAGTTTGACAATTAATTCAAAAATCTTCGCTGGTTTCCTATGCGTATTTTCTGTCTATATAGCGTTTACTTTAATCGCTTTATATTCTTTGCCTTTTCCTGTTTAGGGATCTTCGAACACAAATTCCAAGCCAGATTTTGCTGAACTTTTGTATTGCGTTGTCGGTGACGTTAATTGTGTTCATCGCTGCCGTTGAGAAGACCAGGACATCATCACTGGCCGGCTGTCGGGCAGCGGCGATCGCCCTTCATTACTTCTTGTTAGCAGCATTATTTTGGATGGCAGTAGAAGCGTATAATATGTACTGGGCATTTGTTAAAGTCTTTTCTGCTCCGTCCCGAGCTAAACTTTTAATCAAATGCTGTGTGTTTGCATGGGGTAAGATTTAAAATTTTATATACACCTAAAAGGGAATAATAAAATGTGAACTTTCAGAAATTGCGTTTAGAGCAAGTTCGATGATATTAATTTTAGCTTTTTTTGAAAACGGAAAAAAGTTAGCAGAAATGATATCTATTAAAATATTATTTTTTATATCATCACTCTTTTCTTATAAAAAAGTCATTATATATTTTGTAATATTTATTATTAATTTGATAACTGTTCATTTTACATAGGTACTCCTGCCGTAGTCGTGGGTATAACAATGGTAGTTGCACTGGATAAATATGGCGACGGAACCTAGTAAGAGACGTGATTTTTAAGTCATATTCCAATGTAAATAACAACTTTAAACAAAATAGGCGAAACTTTGCCTCATTTGGGAAGCTTTGAGTGCACTGATTAAGATATGTTCTATTTTAACGTCAGGAATGTCTGCCGCCGAAATTTTTCAGACAAAAAAGAGGATATACTCAACAATCAAACCAACTAATTGCTCTAAAACTGATAAAAATGGTTGGGGATCGTCTCAATCTCGTCTTGTTACACAATATTAATTATGTATACGGCTTGTGTAATTTGTAGTTGGACCCTCTCAATCCTTCTTATTTTGGCTGCCTACAACCTGGACGCCCTATATAAAGTTATCGCCTTTTATATTAATTTATGTTATCACTACTGTGCTCGTGCAGACTACAATTAACAATGATCTGTTTTCTTTTGTTACGCAAGATAGATTTTACTGCCTCTTCAAACTGTTGCATAAAAGAGCAAAATCTGACTTCCAGATTCTTTCTTTCAGTTGTCGGTTGCAAGGCGTACCTTTCATTGTGGCATTTCTAACTCCAACTGTTCTTATCATCGTTGGTAATATCGTGGCTTTTTGCTTCATCATTCGATCATTGCTAACTTCTGGTGCCAAGGTTACCTCTGACAAGAAAACAACGGGCTATCAGCAAGCTCGGCAGGGGATTGCGATTATGGTGCTGCTTGGTTTGACATGGCTTTTTGGCATTCTCGCGATTGGCGATGCCAAACTGGTGTTTCAATACCTTTTCTGCATTTTCAATTCTCTTCAAGGGATGCTTGTGTTTATATTTTTCGTTGTTTTACCTACTGGAACAAGACGAAAACTACAAAAACTAAGGAAAAGAATGACTTATAGTAATAATAGAAATTGCGGTAATGATAATCGAAGTGATTTTCAGCTTAAAAATTTGGCGGACGACAGCTCCCAGTTGAACAAAAATGTTTATTCCAACACTGGCGATATTCCAACACTGACCTCCGGTGCGGCTGAATCAAAATATCAAAATCCAACTTTTGACCATCAAGCGTTTGAAAACCATGTAAAGAATGTCAGTGATGAAGAAGAAGACATGGATCGTGTTTACGAGATACTAGATCAAAAATTTGATAACGAGTTATGGTCAAACCCAAACGTGACTCGCTACAGTGTGAGAAAGAATGGAACCACTTATGTGACAACAATTGAACTCAATATAAAATAGATTCCTTGCTCAGTTTATGTATACATACATATATAGATATATAGATAGATAGATAGATAGATACCTGAAATTTCATTAGAATTGCATATGTTGTGTAATATGATTGAAATCCCATGCAAATGTTATCATATGCAATTCCAATTAGACTTCGAGTATCTATCTATCTATCTATCTGCGGCCAACGTTTTTGCAAATGGGTGTATATATATATATCCAAATATCCACCCATCTAAAGCGTTAATAAGCTTGAATTTGAGAGATCGATTTTATGTATATATCGCTGTGAGTGCAGGCATTATTAACATACATCAAATATCCAAGTGCCACACAACTCATATCCCATCGTCGTCATGAACATTCTTACAATACAGGAGATAAGTATAGTTAAAATTAGGTATATCATCGGCGCCAAGTACTTTTGGGTATTTGGAACCTACGCCGTACGAATGTCGTATGAGGCCTGGGACAGTTTATATATATATATATATATATATATATATATATATATATATATATATATATTATATATATATATATGTAAATATATATATATATATATATATATATATATATATATATATATATATATATATATCGATAAGCGATAATATATCCCCATATTTTCGGAGACGCATGTCGTAGTAGATTTTGTTAAATAAAACCTAAATATATAGGAAGACAAATAAATATATAGATATATAGGTATATATATATATATATATATATATATATATATATATATATATATATATATATATATATATATATATATATATGTATATATATACATTGGTATCTATGGTATACATGTGAGACATAGGTGAATATATCCCATCAAATGTCATACAATTAACAACTGTATTGTATCAACATCTCATATCCGAACATAATATATAAATATTTTTCGTGGGCTTTCAAAGGTTTCTCATTCAAAGCCAACAATGACGTCATAAAGTTGTATATGGGTATAAGGATAGCTAAACGCTATCTCTTCGCCTGGTGCAATTTCTTCCGCTTTGTCGTTGCTATGAGTATTTCTAAATAATTGCTCAATCCCTATCAGATGAACAACGGGGTATTTCGTTTTTAACCAATCAACAAGTTTGCTTACATTTTCATTAACCCAATCTGAATGCATAAATTTTGACTACTTCCGGAACATTATTTATCACTTTACACGAAGTATTAAAATTTTTGAATACTGGTTAGCTTTTCACAAAAATGTAAACATGCCGATTAGTTGAAAACTAAATTCGCAAACATTCAATCACTGGGCTATACGCAATCAATAAAACTAATCTGATCACGTAAGGTATTCTCGGTGAAGAGTCTATTCCAGTGAATGTAGACTGTAGTAGTGTTTCATCAAAGTTTGTCATATGAAAATGTAGCATGTTGAAATCACGGAGCTCTATAGACTATACGTATTATAGAAAGATTAATTGACCTATCTTGCATTAACGTTTACCGCTTTACTTAAAAACCAAGATACGCGTATGTATCCAAGTTTGTACACACTGAGGCACAAGTGAGCACATTCAGAGTCTTGAATACTTCCGAATATGTTTTGGTTCCTGTTATATATATTACGAGATAAAAATAGTATCGTGAAGTAATCGCCTTCCAGGTATCAGAAATATGTACATTATTATCATAATGTTGTTATGCATTCGTGCATTCTGAGACGGATTTGATTCCTAATACATCTTTTAAATAAAAACTTCGATGCATTTTTTGTATGCACTCTTTATTTAGAATAACGTTTTATTCCAAATTTGCTATAGTTATCGGTTGTTAAAGGGTTTTTGAATGATAATACTTTCATGTTAGTTTAATCATGGGTTAATTTACCGTTGTGTATAGTGAGAGTTGATCAAGATAAAATTAATGCATGAAAGATGAACAAAAAGAAAACTAAAAATTGTGAAGTGAATTACAAATGGCGTTGCGATTAATGTAGATTTAGCACACAAGAAACATTCTTCCTGCTCGTTATGATAGCACAACAGCCGTGCGTGAGGGGTGGGCAATACCCAATTGAAGCAGCATTTCCGATTGCGTGAAATGAAGCCTGGGAAAGCATAACAATATGATTTCGCCACATGCGGAAAGCGAAGCGTATGTCGTAGTCAGATTTTTGTTAAATACAACATAATTATACAGAAAGACAAATAAACATATATAGATTATATATATACATATATACTTTGTAAAAATGTCCCATCAAATGCGGTACAAAAACTGCTGATAATTACGGTCTTTTTTGTATGCATACGTTTTGAAAAGAGACAAGCTCGACAAAATATAAGAATATTTTTTATGGGCTTCCAAAAGCCCTTCAAGCCAACCCAAAGAATGACATCATAAAAGTGTCTATGAATGCATAGGTATATATCTATGAAGTGTATGACATATCTATAAGTGTCTATGAATGCATAGGTATATGTCTTCGCCTGGTGCAATTTCTTCCGCTTTGGCGTTGCTATCGGTTCTGATCTACACATAATTTCTCAGATTATTTTACTAATTATACCTAATTCATCCGGAGTAATTCTATATAATTGCTCAATCGCTATCAGACGAACAACGGGGGATTTCGTTTTGGACCAATCAATAAGTTTGTTTACATCTTCATTAACCCAATCCGAATACATTATTTTTGAATACTTCCGGAAATTTTTTTATTATTTTACACAAAGATTTTAAATTTAGGAATCATGGTTAGCTTTGCCTAAAAAATGTAAACAAATATGTCTATTAGTCAAAACTAAATACATAAACCGAAGTTTAAATTGATGTGCATGCATGTGGGAAATGCTTATACTTGCTAACATTCAAGTACTAGGCTATATGCAATCAACCAAACGAATCACTGATCAGAACTGTACTCAATGAAAAGTGTACTCAGTGAAGAGTCTAGTCCAGTGACTGTATAGTAGTGTTTGATCAAAGTTTATCAAACAGTATTGAAAATGTAGCATGTTCAAATCACTGAGTTCTACACTATTAGTGGAAGATTAATTCACCCAGATTGACTTAACGTTTACTGCTTCGCTCATAAAACCGTGGTACGCGTATACAGGCACAAGTGAGCACATACAGCAAAGAGTCTTGAATACTTCCGAAAATGTTTGGGTTCCTTACGTATATCACGAGTAAAACTAAAAGTATTATAATGATTTAATCGCCTAGCTTGCAGGTATCTGAAATATGCACATTATTATCATAACGTTGTTGTATATGCATTCCTACATAAATGCTGAAGCTGAGTCATATTTGATTCCTATATATTGCACAGTTTTCATAAAAACTTTGATGCCTTTTTTATATACACTCTTCATTTAGAATAACTTTTTATTTCATATTTGCTAAAGTTATCGGCTGAAAAAGTGTTTCCGTCGAATGGTAATACTTTCATGTCAGTTTAATCACGGGCTAATTTGCCGTTGTTTAGTGAGAGTTGATCAAGATACAATTATAAGGCATGAAAGATGAGCAAAAGAAAACCCGCCAAAAATTGTTAAGTGCATTACGAATGGCGTTGCGACTACTGTAGATTCAGCACACAAGAAACATTCTTCCTGCTCGTTAGAATAGCACAACAGGCGTGGGAAGAAGTGGGTAAAATTGAATTGAATTGAATAGAAGTAAAATTTCCGATTGCATGAAATGAAGCCTGGGACAGCATTACAATATGAATTCGCCATATGCTGAAAGCGATTTCCAATTTCAATTTAATCCGAATTGTCTTCGCCTGAATTAATGAACTCGGACCTAGTGCTTTACGTCAATTCCTTATTAAAAGCAAGGAAAACTGAGATAAATAATCAAAAGTATACTGAAATTCCTCATGATATAGTTGGAATGTTTTGAGTCATTTATAATCAGAGATTATATGTATGATTGGTACTGAGATTACGGAACTTTAACACTTATTAGTGTCTTTGTCTACGCGACAAAAGCTCGGAATATTAATTGTCATTCAGGGGCCTGTTGTTCGAAAGGCGTTAATTTAGCTTAAACGGTGGATATTAAGTTCAAAATGGAAAACAAAATTATCTATTCATTGAACAACAGAGCTGAAATATTTCGATGTAAACAGTTTAATATTCAATGGAAGTACATATTTTATAAATCATTCACAACATCAATGAGAGTGTTTTTGAAATTTTGCGTATCCATGCACCGTTTAAGCTAAACGCCTTTCAAACAACCGGCTCCTATATGGTATATATGGTATGCTTCAGTACGCTAAAAGTATTCCGTATTTTGCTAGTTCATATATCAAATTTTGCACAAGACTATTTGTTTAAATTTCTACATTTAAGAATCTCGTAATGCAAGTCGATACCGCTTCGAAAGCAGCAGGAAGGAATAGGATTGTGTAGGCTTTTTTGCGGGCTAAAACAGTTTTGCAGTTTGCAGAAAAAACTATTATCAGTAATACAACTGAAAGAGCATTGGTCGCAGGTAAAAACCGAATTGATCTTGGCGTTTTGCCTTAATTGTACTTCGATAAAGAATCTTACGAATCATGCGACCAGCCAGTCAGACGAGGCACTTGCAAAAAAAAGAGTACAACACACGGTCAAGTGGTATTAATTTATAATTTTTAGTTCCCCGACAGCGTTAATTAACTGTTATTGCGGTCGTGTGAATGCTTCACTTTCGAATGCCACATTTTCACCGTTCCTTGACGATATGTAGACAGCTTGAAATGAATCTCAAAAGATCAAAAATACTGAAAACGAACTTTCATCTCTCAAACGAAAAGTTGTTTTGTCTGTTCTCGTGGACTTATTATGATTCAAACTATTCCACGGTCAATCTACGGCATTGGAGCAATAAAACGAAAAAAGAATATATTATATATTATTCGTGTTGTGTGCGTAATTCGAACTACAACCTATTTTTACGGCTAGATTTGTAAAAATACTGAATCATGGGTAAGGAATTCACATCCTTACATATAGTGCGGTTGCCAGCTTTGGCAATTGGGGGAGCACATATAATCATGACATGAATTCATATTCACTGGCGGTAAAAACAATCAATTTCAAAAGAATAGTCTACAACCCGAGTACATGATCAATTAATAAATACCATCTATTGTGTACACAGCGTGTAATTAGCCACCGCGTTGTCCTGTCGACCGGATGCATATAAAAAAGATGAAGAAAAATATTTTCCACGAGAAACAGTAATGCGGCTAACAATTTCACATTCATATTTTTAAACGCTGCAAAGACATTCGTGTATGTGTATTGTGCATAGTAAATTGTTTGGCGTTGAAAACAATTGTTGTAGTGAGTGTACATTCATTGGGAATTATATTTATATTACGGTTGAAACTTGAACTTCCTGTTATTTTTTTTAGTAATTAACGCGCGGGTGGATCTATCACGAACGGATGTTGATAATGTATATATAATACAAAGCGCCTGGTCAAGAGAGAAAAACAGAGAAGCTGGCAAGTACCACCACAATGGCAAGAGTGTATGTATGCTTTTGTGTTATGCTTGTGATAATGCGCAGTACCAAAAGTCAGTTTATGAATACGAGCGTTTTAACAAGGATATCCACACCAACACCGACTTCATTGAAAACAACAACTCCTGATACTTCTTTTCTATCATCGGCCGATATTTTAAATTCCACATTTCGGGGTTCCATGGATGGTGTTACGGCTACACTCATGCATAATAATATATCAGCAGCAGGTTCGTAATTTTCTGTGTGTATAAAATGTGTATTAATGTAACCCGATCTTGTAATTTTTATCAGCTACCAAGATCCGATCGGATTCCCATATATAGCCCCACCTGATTTCTATAATTACAAAATTTATACCAGGAGGGGACAGTCTAACTAAATTTGAGCACCTTGGTTAAAAGTTGCATATACAGGGTGTATAAAAAAAAAAGTAATTTAACTTGAACACGCTATTGTTCGTGAACTACTCAGTCTATGAACGAAATCTCTTCAATTCGGAATGTCAGTCACAAAAGCATATTTTCACCTTTGAGCCTAATTAAAGCAGTGCATAACCAAAAAAAAACAATTAATCACGAACATCTCACAGCTTGCACTGGTTTTACAACATGTTTATTGCAATTATTTACATTTAAACTTAATATTTAAATTTTAAAAACTTTAAATTTACATTTAAACAATAAAAAGAGATTATGCGTCGATGCCTTCAAATTGACCACCATCTGTATCGAAACAAAGTTGACATCCCCGCCGCATCAATTTGAATGTTCTCCTGATGTGTTTTAGTCCTACTTAATATGCATTTGCGGGTAGTTTATTCACAAGCAAAATTCTTCAATTAAGTCCCAAAGGGAGTTAACTTTCAATGGGTTTTAGTCCCAACTCTCAGAGGTGAATATATGCGACTTTTTTCAGCCTCGTATTTGCTCATTTTTCACCATTTGCCTAACCTTTGCGAATGTGAAAAAATTTCGTTAATATAGCTTGAGTATAGTTCACGTACAATAGCGCGCCAAAGTTGGATTACTTTTTTATACACCCTGTACATGTATGGTCACACTGATGAATGAATAATTATGTTAAAACCAAACGCTAGACTGCCATGGCATATACGAAATCATACAGCAAGGTTTCGATTCTATTTCAAAGTCATCATCAGACTATATCTTTAAAGCTACATATTTCTAATTCATTACGTCAAAAACGGAAGTCTCAATCAAAGAATCACGACGGGTTAGCAGTGAAAAAAGTGTCTACGTGCATAGATGTATGATATAAGAAACTTCAATCTTATGCGAATTACCATCTACCTTCCACACAGACAAAGTATATTTAACGCAAAGTAACTGACAAATAGAATTAACTTGTGTAAATTCGGTCTATCGTTTGGTTAGTGCTTGTAATCGAACAGTTTTCATCAAATTTTGAGGTGAATATCCTACCAAATTATTTTGTTATTGTATACGTCACAGCCACAGGGTGCCACGATAAAGATACCTATATACGAGTGACAAGTTACGAATGATCTGGGACCGGTTGTATAAAACTCTTAACTACACTTTTCATAGCATCCTAGTTAACTCAGAAATACACAACTCTGATTGGCCAATTCTGTCCTTAACTACAGTTAAAAGTTAACTAGTCTTTTATACAACTATAGCCCTGATGTATAATAAACAATTATTGGATTCGGATTCATTATTATCGGATTCAATAATTATTTATTATATACATTTAAATATATCAGTAACGTATAAAATGATTAAACGAAGTTTATTACTGCTTATTTTATTTTATTAATGTTTATTTAATTTCGCGCTCTTTTCGGTTAGCCACACAGCGGAAGTTGATACGACGTTTAACAATGCGCAATCATGTGTTTAGACGTTTTATGCTCTTATCACTACTTATGCTCTTGTCACTTCCTTTATGCTAATAATGTAAAATTTTTAAATTTTTCACATTATAATTGTTGATTTCAAAATACAGATGACACATAAAATGCTTTCGATGTAAAAAAACAGCTTATTGTTTCTAGCATAAAAAGGTATCATATTTACGACTTGTTGCAGAAATATCCATTTAATTCCATTCGAGTTTGAAGCTCAACTATAACACCCGGATTAAATCCAATGGCCCCTTTGGCCATTCATACACTGAGCAGATATTTATTCATCAAAAACACGAGGAGTACGAATCACCCGTACCACAATATGCACAGTTGCCGGGTAGTGAAAGGTCTGGGCTCATCCGAGGAAAATTATTGCTTTAATGGAAAGTTTTTTATGATGAATTTCAGAATTATTCGCTTACGATTCTTAATGGCATAGTCAGGCCTGGGCATAGTTGATATTTTATTACTTTCTTTAAAACTTAAATAATTTTTTATTTTTATTTCTTGCGAAGCTATAACTGCAGGACCGTCATCACCAAGCATGGTGCCATCATCGACTATAAAAACATCAAGCTTGAGCATTTCTCCCACATCTTCAGTAAAAGGTAACACTGCAACGAGGCCATATGTTTTATTATGCACATGGACAAACCGAATCACAGCGATCTTTATTGCCAGTGGTGGATCTAGGGGTGTGCAGAATAAATTATTAGAGTTTAATATCAGAATCGTATTGGTAGATTTTAATGTAAAAATATTCTTTTCAAATCTATAACCAATAGGGTTGTGATTAAGGTGTTTTGCATTTAAAATTAAGCTGTGTAATTTATTCTCCACACCCTTAGATCCGCCACTGTTTATTGCCAATTCAAAAATGGATGTTTTTCTTGGAATAACGCGCTATGAAGAACGGAGACGGAGTCAAGTTTTTGATGAATATCAAAATAATTGGCTTGTGATTTATAATGCATGATTGATGTTTTAAAATCGTTCTCGTCCATGTTATTTGAAAAGATGCGCGCGCAGAGAAAGTTTTTCTTAAGCAAAGAAAAATGTTGTTGTCCAAATTCTATAGGAAACAAAATCTCGCTTAGAACTTAATTTCTTAACATAACGCAATATCATCATATTTAGGAATTGTGTATCCACCATCAAGTGGGAAGATTTTTACTTTCCTACCTGGATCAACTGCAAAGATAGTGTGGACATATGATTTCTATATCTTCTATTGTTCTACGGTCATGGGAATTCAGGAGTACAAACGTTACCACTCCGGTGATGCTTGCTAGTATCACTCGTGATGGTAGCCCTACGATATTCGTCAGCTTTCCTGTGATTGCAGTAGAAAAACCATCAACATTAATTTTACAGAATGTTGATCACCGTTATGATGGAAAATACAGATTCACTGTTTCAGCATTTACAGCTCATTCTTCCTCTGAAGTTGTCGTCTTCGTTGCAGGCAAGTTCAGTCTTTTATTGATTTAAAGTTTCCAATTTCAAAGATTGGTCTTGACAAAAATATGAAATATATCATTTGAACACAAACCCAAATATACTTGAAACATGCCACAATTAATATAATTATTAATAACATTTATTGGTGGTTTTCAATGACTTATAATTACCTGAGGAATTTAATTGACGAGCGCATGATTGTAAGAAAAAGGATATTGCAGCGCTTTGTCGGGTATGCAGAGACATTTTTGGGCCTAAAATATAGTACAGTTGATTGTATGGCAAAAAAAGCATGCCTGTTTTTTGAAGTTACCTGGTTGCAATTAAAAAAATAAACGGTGACGTATGAATTACAATAACGCTTTGTTAAACCTGGGTTTTGCGTAAATTAATCTTTTCCTTGTCAATTATAACACGTCCATGAATTTATGTTTATTCTTCGTTCTCCTATACCTCACATTGCCTTAATCTATAACAAGTACCTATACTGTATAATTGGTATGTCAATATATTTTAGAGAAGCCAACCGTGACATTGAATTGTTCCAGTCCAGTCACGCTAAATGAAGGTGAAAACTTTGCGTGTCTATGCAGAGGTGAAGGTGGAAATCCTCCTGCTAATGTTACCTGGTTTAAAAATGGAGTCAAAATTACTGATGTTGGAATAGAAAGACAAACATTGAAACTCTCAAATATTAGTAGAACAGACAATGGAACATACAAATGTAAAGCCACAAGCTACCCCCATCAAAATTATACAGACGAAAAATCATACCAAGTAATAGTTTACGGTGAGTATACAAAATACTCGAGAGGGTAGTTAAACACGCAGAAAAGCATAATAAACTAATACATACAAAAAAAAGCTAATTAAGTTTTAAAAAAGTGATAAAACATCAACTATGCCATTAAGAATCCTAAGCGAATAATTCTGAAATTTATCATAAAAAACTCTCCATGAAAGCACGCACGTTTAAGTTATCGAAACAAAAACATAAATAATACAATAACTGATATCAAGGCGAGTGAAACATCAAGCAACCATGTGACAGTTGACAGTATTATTAGTGAATTATATGGCGTATTAGGTCTGATACCTCGCCGAAGTCATAATACCAACGGAGAAATAAACTAATTAATGCATCGCCAAAGTAATCATACCAACGGAAAATAAACAGATTCCAAGCTCAAGATATAATATCAACGGAGAACTAAACTAATACCAAGCAAAAGTCGTCATACCAACGGGAACTAAAATGACACATCGCTCAAGACATCGCACCAACGAGGAAATAAACTGATACCTCGCCGAAGACAACATACCAACGGAGAACTAAACTGATACCACGCCCAAGACATCATACTAACGGAGAATAAATCAATACCTCGCTTAAAACATCATACCAACGGAAAACAAAACTGATACCTCGCACAAGGCATCATACCAAAGGGAACTAAACTAATACTTCGCCCAAGACATCATACCAACGGGAAAATAAAATGATACCTCGGCCAAGACATCATACCAACGGAGAAATAAACAGATACCTCTCGCAAAGCATCATACCAACGGGGAATAAACTGATGCCACACCCAAGACAACATACCAACGGGGAAATAAACCGATGCCTCGCGCATGACATCATATACAAACGGAGAAATAAACTGATACCAAGCCCAAGACATCATACCAACGGAGAAATTAACTGATACATCGCCCAAGACATCAAACCAACGGAGAACTAAACTGATGCCACACCCAAACATACAACCGATAACTAAACTGATATTTCGCCCAAGACATCATACCAACCGGGAAATGAACTGATACCTCACCCAAGACATCTTACCAATGGTGTAATAAACTGATGCCAAGCCCAAGGCATCAAACCAAGGGAGAACTAAACTGATACCTCGCACAAGACATCATACCAACCGGAAAAAAAACTGATACCACTCTCAAGACATCATACCAATGGTGAAATAAACTGATACCACGCCCAATACATCATACCAACGGAGAACTAAACTGATACCTCGCACATGCAAGACATCATACCAACCAGAAAATAAACTGATACCTCTCTCAAGACATCATACCAATGGTGAAATAAACTGATACCACGCCCAAGACATCATACCAACGGAGAACTAAACTGATACCTCGCACATGCAAGACATCATACCAACCAGAAAATAAACTGATACCTCTCTCAAGACATCATACCAATGGTGAAATAAACTGATACCACGCCCAATACATCATACCAACGGAGAACTAAACTGATACCTCGCACATGCAAGGCATCATACCAACCAGAAAATAAACTGATACCTCTCTCAAGACATCATACCAATGGTGAAATAAACTGATACCACGCCCAAGACATCATACCAACGGAGAACTAAACTGATACCTCGCACATGCAAGACATCATACCAACCAGAAAATAAACTGATACCTCTCTCAAGACATCATACCAATGGTGAAATAAACTGATACCACGCCCAAGACGTCATACCAACGGAGAACTAAACTGATACATCGCGCAAGACATCATCATACCAACCGGGTAATAAACTTATACCTCCCCCAAGACATCATACCAACCGGGAAATAAACTGATACCACGCCCAAGACATCGTGTCATCGGTAAAAAATTCTACAACCCATTCAAGACATCATGTTTTATGCTCATTTAAAAATTGATGCACTCAAGAAATATTTGTTGCATTAAGAAGCCTGATTATTCAAAAACTAACAACATTCTGGATTGAAATAGTAGGCAAAAGTGAAAAAGTTCAAGTTATCAAATTAATACAATCATCACAACGTGATCGAAATTGGTATTTTAAAGATGAGAGAATTGTGGGGGGTCCGCAGGACCTCTTGCAGAAAATTTTATGTATTTTTGAGTCCCTATGACTTGATTTCCAGCATTTTTAGAGACAACTGCTTATGAATGCACCTCAGAAGAGTGAGGTCTGTTGGGAAAATACTGTTTATCACTGCACATTTCTCATTTCATTACTGCACATTCTATTTTTATCACTGCACAAATCGGTTATCGCTGCACACTAAAGTTAAGTATGTCGTTGGTTGTGGCTATGACTTAATTAATAAGTGGGGCAATTTTTATGTCTATTTTTCGCACTGTTTGCGAAGGCGCTGCCTCACAACCGGTCACACACCTTAACTTGAAGCACGGAAATGTTATCAATTTTAATTCAATTTTCTTTCCATTGTCGCGTTTTTCTACGGGTGGAAGGATTTAGATGCCTGCAGGACAAATATATACGCGGTACTTCTATGAATTGAAGATTTCAAAACACTTTTCTCACAAGGTTTGGATACATTTCTCCGTTCACAATTTCCGTATTTTTTTAGGTCCTCAAGAAACAGATGTACCAATTGACTCTCCTTGTCGGCCATTTTACAACAAAACTAATCTGCCTCAAGACAGCATTGAGATGGCACATTATCAAATGCATCCATTCTATCCCTTAGTGTACACCTACTGTTCTGTGAATCTTTTACCATTAATTTGTTCCATTTATCTTCCTGTGTTGGATAACGTTTCCAGCAAGATTCTACCACCGTGTTGGGATTTGTGTGATCAGGTCTCGATGGATTGCAGTTATGCAATTAGGAAATTGAAATTCCCAATTTCGACTTTATTACAACGATGTTCGTCCAAGTCCGCTCCAGGCAATGCCACAAGTACAAAGTGTTTCCGTGAGTATTTACACTTTGTAACTCCTCGATTCCCGAAATTGATTTTGGCGCGTTTGCAGCAGGATTAGGACGACAAAAGTCTTTTGTTTTCATTTTGCATTATCAAGATAACTTAATTTTACAGTGATATCTTTGTTTAAGACTGATTTCAAATGAATTCTCCACAAACCCAGTGGCGTAGCCAGCCTGACATTTAGTTATGCTATGCTAATATTTTGGTGTTCATTGACTGTGAAAACAACGAATTTCTATATAATTTAATAATTCTAATGACTTGAAATTTGCATAGCATGACAAAATTAAACTGTCAGGTTGGCTACGCCACTGAACAAACCGCTTGCATAATATGGAAAAATCATTAATTTCCATACCATTTTTGAAAAAAGGTTTAAAGGCCATTTAATTTCGCATGGAAAGGGCGAGTAGGTCTTGTTTGTGAATATCCCAAATCAATTTCTGACATAATTTGGCGATGGTTTTTAAATTAAAGATATTTTTATTTTCAAGGGCCAACAGCTGCGCCTACGCAAATAGAATCTGGTAAGTAGCCTATATTTCAGAATCTGCAATTAGCATTTGAATTTAGTTTTTGGGGTTCCTTTTTTTTAAAACCAAGAGCGTAGGACCTCGTAACGGCGACTATCTTTATTCTTAGGCTGAATTTATTCTTCAAATGGAGTAAAAATGCTTTGCATGTTATTATATATTTTCAAAGTGCCTCAACATCGTCATCGTGAGAAAAGCTAATCTCATTAATAACGTGGCAGGAATTGTACACGTGTGGGGTCTGCAAAGTCAGAGTTTTTTTTAAAGTTTGGACACCAAATTTATTTCCTACTTAGCGACATTTTATCGAGAAAAGAACCAAGCATTCAATTATTCTTTTCAAAATGTTCCGAATATTTCTGCAGGATTAGGTTCAAATGGCACTATAACATTACAGTCTTGAAACCGAATTGGAATGGTTATAATTTTCTATTATGCAATGTTAATCTTGTGTTAAAGAGTACTCATGCTTGTGTACTTGCTATCTTATTGTTTCAAGTCGAATATTAATTGAAATAAGAAATTGTGAGTTCACTTTCAAAACGCAGTGCGATCTGCAAACAATATTTCCGGTCTTAGTCAAAGTCATCTAACCATCTTTTCCTATTTTAAAATCCAGATCAATCATGTTGCTTTACTGTGAAACCGCATCCATTTTGCATCCCATTCTTCGGTCAATCCTCGCTCAATAGCAGTCAACAAGATGAAGTTATTTTCAGCTTGAGCACGTATCTTCCACTATTTCACGCCCTGGAATCACTAAACCAGCAATTCTGTGTAGCAAAGTTATCAGAATATCTTTGCCTGAAAAAATTCCAATATTGTGATATGCGCTTTGAAGAGGAAAGTGGTGGATGTTCGCCAGGTATTTTCAAAGTACCCAGTGAACTTTGTTCGTACATCACAGACGCTTCGTCACCTTGTTCTTTGAGTCGTATCAACACCACTCTTCAAAACGCTGGGTATAATATTCCAATAATAATGTCAGATTTTCACTGCTCGACATTACAATCATCCATTCATGTTGAAGAACATTCGTCAAATATTCCACTCTTACCACGTAAGTTTTGATTTTATCAATTTACGAAATGGTCTTGAAAAACATACACATACTTTTTAGCTGATGAAGGAATACGAGCCCTAAGAAAAACTGGAAATACAACATATAGTACTAGCCGTGTTATTTGAGTAATTACCGAAACATTTACTTACATTGGTATGCATGTTTTATTGGTATGTTGTTTGCTAGTCCATGTATCAAATAACAAGCTGTTTGTATCCCTTGCCCGCAATGCATGCATGCATGTAGTTTTGGCAGGGGGGGCGCGGCTATAAGTACATTAACTTTTCAATATCAAGCAGGCCTTCTCATTCAATCAATCAATTCTAGCTACTTTCCTGACTCACTGCAATTTTCCCTATGAGGACTTGTGATAATGGCCAAAATATTGTTGATTTTACTACCTACTCAGATGAAGAGCGTACATGCTGTCAAAGAAAATTACAATTAACGCATAATGCTTTATTTTAGGTGTTAAATTACTGCTTATTCTTACAAGCATAAAGTGATATTGTTGATTTATTGCAGAAATATCAAGCACAGTGGCATTACCATTTCGTTCATCTGCATTTTACCCTAGTCGAGTTTCAAGATCAATTAAATCTGAAGCATCAGGAAATGTGGTTACTACATCCGTGTTAAATTCAACAGTTTCACCTGGCGATATCTCTGCCACACTTTCCGCAAGGCCAAGTAGTCAACATATTGAGATCGGTACAACAAACAGGCCTTGGTTACCGCAAACAACAAGTATGTTCAGCAGGTTTACCACCATTTGAAATTCATATATTAATTAACTTCGTGCCCATGTAATAATGTGTACATGCAGATCTTTGTAAATCAAATACCAAGGTTTATGAGATAGTTTTAAGCTTTTTACGTTTTGAGGTACGCGCGTTCCAATAATCAGCCGAATTAAAGCGAATAAACATCTGGAAATTAGTTTGCAATTGGCCAGTTTAAATATAATGCGATACAAGTAAATGAGGCAAAATGAGAAGATTTTTCTCGCTTTTTCCTGCAACATTGCAGTTCTAATTCCAAGTCTTCATTCCCAGTTAACTCTAATAAATAACTGGAACGATACCTCCTCATTGTTTTTGTGAAGCCAAATTTTGCGAGACTTTACCTCCAGACACACGTGATTTTGGCTTCATTCGCGGGTGACTCGCGAATTAACTGTGGGGGAAGCTTGCTTTTCATCAGCGAACAGGGCAAATTTGAAAGAAAGTTGGTTTTGTTGGTTTCATAGTTTTGTGACAACAATATTTGAAATGTTTTTCGACCACGTGTGCAATTTTGACAACAATATTTTTACGAAACGGGCATCTAATAGCTGCATGCATGCGTGCGGTATGATCACAGCACCATTTAAAATGCATATTTTATATCCTGAATTGTGATTGGCTAGTTGTATATACTAAAGAATTTTATTAGCTATCAGCAAGATGCGATACAATTCACGAAGGGTGGAATTCCTAAATAAATTCATAGCCTGAGACCATAGCTACAATAAGCTATTAAATAAAAATATACCTATCCACATCTTTCTATTAGAGTCCCAAATCACAGAGGTCTTCGTATTCCACGGTTAACAAATTTTTCAATAGCAAAGCCAAGTTAAGGAGCTTAACATTAGTTGGAATAATTTACCAAGCACGAAGGATCAAGGAATAGGTATATGTGAGAAAGATAGTGGAAGCTGATTCTTCAAGTGGGGAAACAATTACCAGCACATTCACTCCACAAAGAAATATCATATAATATTCAACAATAATCAACACTAAATCACAGTACGAAGTGTTGATAACGGCGATAGGACAGGGATGGATTCCGCAACCGTTTACCATCGTTAATTTGCCGCTAAGCAAAAGTAAGTTGAACTATATATGTCGATGGTATTGGAAAAGCAAACCATGCACGTTGGCGAGTTAAATAATAATCCGTAAGCCCTTCGTTTTTAATATTTTTATGTATATATCATTCGTGGGCTTGCGTTTTATATTTCTTGAAATATATTCCCTGGTCCCAAATGCACAATAACTAGTTAGGTTTAAATACTACATGTTACTAAGGAACTGAACGGCTCCAGTCAGTCAGGTAACGTTAGTTACAGACATTACAGCTCTGATGATTCCGCATAGAACCAAATGAATTTCTTCTTCCTAAAGGTTTTTGTCCGGGTGAAGAAGTCGGTTCTCCAGAAGCATATGGGATTTTCCAGTGGCCAGAAACTCCAGTCGGAAACGTTGCTACACTTGCTTGTCCTTATAACAATGAGTCTATCGCGAGTCGTGATTGTTTTTCAACATCCGAAACAGAAAGTGGAGGTTCTTGGGGACGATTGTAGTAACGAAATGCAAATATAAAGATTCGCGGAGTAAAAATCTCTTCATTTTATCACAGGTAATTGCATGAATACCTTTGAATAGAAATCGACTGTAATTCGAAGGTTATTTTCGATGCAATTTTAGATAACTTTTAGAATGTAAGTTTCTTTTATACCCAAGGTTTCTTTTTAATCTTCCATATTACAAATCATAAAAAAAATAATGGCACTAAAAACCAAAATAATCGCTATTGTTTCTATTAACTAATTAATGCTCGAAAAGATGAAATAGCTATTTCGCTAGCGTATACATGCATGCAACAATTGAGTTTGTCTTCGTAGGTTCTGAAACTGTTTAAGAAATAGAAAACATTTTCCGTGTTTCTATACAGTTATAGAAACACGCGTGGGAGTTTGGGAGAACGAGAAATAATCAGTGGGAAAACGAGCCCGTAGGGCGAGTTTTTCCACGTTATTTCGAGTTCTCCCAAACTCCCACAAGTGTTTTATAACTGTATAGAAACACAGGAAAAACGTTTCTATTTCTTTTATAATATAACTCAATAAAAAGATTTTTTACAAATATTATAATTCGATTCAATTACAAATTCTCATTACATTACTTCGCTTGACAAGTTCGGCGGGAAAATTCCCGTGTTTCTGTACAGTTATAGAAACACGCTTCTCGACCAATCAGCACGCGCGTACTATAAATGTTATATTATAAAGAGATTATATTAAATTACTGCTTAACATTTTTTCAATTCAGAATAAAGTTAATAGTAGCAACGTTGTGAACGTCACTAAGAGCTAAGAGACTTGTCTTCAACTAATCAAAGCAACACTCTTAATCCTGGTGATATTGACTATATCGCTACAATATTAGAAAATATTGCTCTGGTGAAAGAAAAAGCAAACGAGGTTTGTCAATGTTGAAATTGTTTCTTGCTTATTGTTTTGTTTCGTTATGAGGTGGTGGTTAAAAAGATATATTGCAGGAGAAACTCGGTTGAAAATAATACTATACTAGTTACGTCAATTTAGATCCTCTTATTTTGATGTATAGCTAACATACTTTCTTTCATAAAAACTATAACGAAATAGAATCGCATTAAAGATCCCTAAAGAACAGGATTTTATTGAATTTGGGAACGAATATGCATGGCAGGGAAAACTCAAATTCAAAATCAAGGCAAAAAATGTAATAATGAAGCATTCTAGTAATCTGGTAAAAACATTTTGAAAAAATATTATTTGTGTGGCAAAAAGAGTGCGTGACACATGCAAGCGTTATAATAGAGGTTTGATACGTCGAAGGAACCTCCCCTGCAAAATTGTCCAATTAGACGAACCATGCGGACAATTCGTGTAGACAGATGATCCGTGCTGGTATAAATCGGACTATTATTCCCTAATTGAACGAGCATCATTGCATGATTTTTCTACGTTATTCCTACGCAGTGTTATTAACAAAATAACTGCATTTAGGTTTTAGTTAGGTATTTTCTCATGTTCAAGAGAAGCAGGTTAATTGGCGCTTTTTATTCTTCATATCATACTCTAATACACTTGTGGGTTCATGTTTGTAGATTCTTGACGACTTCCTGACAACTATAGACAATGTGCTGGACTCCAAACTTAAGAATATTCTAAAAAGTCAAGAGGATCGAAACTCATCGTCAAGGTATGTACGATACCTCATAAATTGATCTGGCAAAGATGTGGGTGATGTATGACACCGTTGAAAAAAAAACGAGTATCAGGCCTAGGTTAAACGTCGCATTTAATTTGGTCCGGTCGAATGCAATTCAAACAATAGATTATGAGACGATAATGAGGCTTAATGAGGTTTATCATCTTATTATCTTATGTTTGAATTGCATTCGGCAAATGCGACGTATAACCTTGGCCTCAGCGAGTGAGTCGAGAGAGAAAATAAAAGGTTATTAATTTTTCAGGATTGTCGAAACTCTGAACATCTTCGCAGAATCATTAGTTATTGGCGCACAAGGCAAAATTGAGATTGCGAAAAGAAACTTCGATATTAACTTACAAACGGTGAAGCCACAGAATTTTAGCGGACTTAATTTTTCGGGTATTCAAAGGAGAATGAATCAATCAGAAAGGAAAAATATTACTTTGAATAAAAAGAGCAATGAAGTACGGCAAGTCTTATCTCCTTCGCTCACAATTCCACGAACAATATTCAACGAATCCACGGGTAAAAACAGTTCCTCAAACCAGACAGTGATATTTGTGCTCTATAGAGAAACAAAATTTTTTAGATTATCATCTATTACCAGTGGGACATCGGGTCGCTTGAATAGTCTTGTAATTTCGGGAAGTATTGAAGGATTGTCAGTTTCAAATTTAAGTGTTCCAGTGAACATTGCATTACCAAGCCTCGAAAGAGGTGACACGAAAAGCACCCAGTGCTCTTACTGGAATTTCAGCGCTGGAAATTGGTCGCAAGAAGGTTGCAAGTTTGAACGCGTTCTTGAAGATGGAAGAGTGCTTTGTAGTTGTAATCATTTTACCAACTTTGCAATGTTGATGGTAAGATTATTACTATCAAGTGTTTTTCTTGTATTAATGAGCTATTAATATACCGGTGCATAGCTTGAACTTCAAGGTTACTTGATAAACTATTAATAATTCGCGTGCAATAAATCTTAAAATTGGGATACAGTTCGTAATGTACACAAATGCTTTGTTTATATTCCGAATCAGTATATCTCCTAAAATATCAAGATGATATCAAGATCTCTCAGAATATTTTAAACGCTTTTAGTTCGCTATGCTTTTAAATGAATATTACATAGAGTTTTCGTTCAGAGATATATGAGACATGCGAAATTCGAGCAATTAATGCTGCAATTTTAAAACAAGTCGACCACCCATTGTTATGAGCATCTAGAACTGATGCGCAGAGGCGACTGTGTCCCCATATTAATTCCTTTAATTATATATGAGCCATTGTGAAACTCTAAAGTAAAGAAGTAAAGCTCGTGACTATTTTCTCCATAGAACATAGCTCCAGGAAAGAAGACTGTACATGACAAAATACTTGGTGTAATAAGTTACGTTGGCTGTGCCCTCTCATTGGTTGGGCTCATCTTGACAATAATCACAATACTAATTTTGAGGTAAATATGGGTTTTTATCATACGAATAATTTTCTACACCTTATATTTTACGTTTTTTATGAATTTCGCAAGGCCAAGGATTGCAAATGTAAACATGCTGGTTTTTCACTAGCCAAATTTTTGTTTCTAAAATCTCAGTGGTCTCTATATCAGGAAAATTGCCCAAAGACAAAAAATATATCAATAGGTTCGCGTGAAGAAACACACTAGAGATATACCGAAATTTTAGCAAAATTTAGGTATGGCAACAGCTGCAGAAGTGGAAGTTCTTTGCCTTATCACTCATAGGCCCCCTATACGTATCACACAGACCTTCGGTGGTCGATACATCGAAAAAGGACTAATAAACGCCCCTATTTAATCATTGTGCGAACATAGACGTGTACTTTCGTGCGAACATTTTCTATCGCGCTATTTTGTTCCTATATATTTAAATTTAGGGATCTGCGAAACCAAGTTCCAAGCCAGATTTTGCTGAACTTCTGTATTGCTTTGTCGTTGACGATCATTGTTTTCTTGGCTGCTATTGAGAAGTCCAGGACATCATCCCTGGCTGGCTGTCGGGCAGCAGCGATCGCCCTTCATTACTTCCTGTTATCAGCATTCTTGTGGATGGCCGTAGAAGCGTATAATATGTACTGGGCATTTGTGAAAGTCTTTTCCGCTCCGTCACAATCCAGGCTTTTGCTGAAATGCTGTGTGTTTGCATGGGGTAAGATTTTTTGATGAAGAAAAAAGGTCGTCCTTTTGTAGTGGCAGTAATAGTAGTAGTAGTTCTAAAAATGTATACAAGACAGCTAGGATCTCTTAGTGGAAGAGCAATGTGGGTTGTAACATATTTGCCCAGTTCAATCCCTTTTAGAAATTGCCTTACAGAGAGCTAGACTGTCTGTTGTAAGTCATCTCTTTTCGGTATCTAGTTAGCGAGTTTTAAAATTTAAAAACCTTGCATTCTCGCATACACCATGATAGTTGATGGTTAAATTAATGTTTTGGAAGACAGCTAGCCTTTAATTGATGAATATGCATACGGCGCGCGTATCAATCTGTGGCACGGTAAAACACGGTATAGTCTAGGAAGGAAAGATGGTTTTAGTCCCCCAAAAAATATCTCTGGACGATATCAATTTATTATCTATATCTTAAATATCATATACTCAAACAAATGACCATTTTTTGGCCGAAAAATCATTATCTTTTGTAATAAATCTTCTTTTGTATTATAGGTACTCCTGCCGTAATCGTGGGTATAACAATGATAGCTGCATTAGATAAATACGGTGACGGAACCTAGTAAGTGGCTTGATTTTTGATCATATTCCATACATTGTAATGAAAAATTTTCGACATACTCCATGCAACTTTACATCATCACTAGTATAAGGATTTTAGGTACACTGACTAGATGCATGGTATAGACGGCGTCGCAAAACATTACACTTGCTGACACGGAAATCTATAGATTATATACAGAAAAGAGAATACTGAACGCAGAACATGGAATTACATCATTTTCCTGCTTTCTGAGGCATGTAGCTACGAAAAATTAGGCTGAAAAAATCAAACATTCAAATTTTTGTAGGGCAAAATATCCAACAATTTAACTTTTCCCGATAAAACTCTATTATCTGTGAGATCAAATGCTTTCGTAAATATATAAAGGGCTTGTGTATATTCGACAGTTGGAACCCCAATTTTTGGCTGCTGCTCTTAATTGACGCACTATTAAATTTTCAAGTCAATACACTTTTAATCATATACTGTATTTGTGTTAAATTCAACTCTTATGTGTCGGAGAAGTAACAATTAATAACCTGTTCTTTAAAGTTTTGTGCGTGTTGATAGTCTTCGCCATCAATACTGTTGTTAATAAAAAATTACATGGTGTCCGTGATTGTCAGCAAATCAGCACTCAACAAGGATATGTTTTTCTTGCCACGCCGAATAAATATTTGCTGTCTGTTTAAATTGTTACATGATGAACAAAGTGTAACCTCCTGTTTTTTGAATAGTTGTCGATTGCATGGCGTACCTTTCATTGTGGCATTTCTAACTCCAACTGCTCTTATCATCGTTGGTAATATCGTGGCTTTTTGCTTCATCATTCGATCCATGGTCACTTCTGGTGCCAAGGTTACCTCTGACAAGAAAACAACCGGTTATCAGCAAGCAAGGCGGGGAATTGCGATTATGGTGCTGCTTGGTTTGACATGGCTTTTTGGCATTCTCGCGATTGGCGATGCTAAACTGGTGTTTCAATACCTTTTCTGCATTTTCAACACACTTCAAGGGCTGTTTGTGTTCATATTTTTTGTTGTCTTGCCCACTGGAACAAGACGACAACTAAAAAAACTCGGAGCAAGAGTAAGTTATAGTAATCGTCATAGTACTCAGCGTCAAAGTTTGGGGGAAGACAGCTCCCAGTTAAACAAAAATGTTTGTTCCAATGACATTACAACGTCGACATCTGGTGCACTTGTGTCAACAACTGAAAATCCGACTTTTGCCCATCCAGCAATTGAAATACCTTTAAAGATTGCCAGTGATTTTGTGTCAACAACTGAAAATCCAACTCTTGCCCATCCAGCAATTGAAAACCCATTAAAGAGTGCCAGCGATTTTGTGCCAACAAGTCCAAATCCGACTCTTGTCCATCAAGCAATTGAAAACCCATTAAAGAGTGCCAGCGATTTTGTGCCAACAAGTCCAAATCCGACTCTTGTCCATCAAGCAATTGAAATCCCTTTAAAGATAGCCAGTGATTTTGTGTCAACAACTGAAAATCCGACTTTTGCCCATCCAGCAATTGAAATACCTTTAAAGATAGCCAGTGATTTTGATGAAGGAAATGAAGACATCGACCATGTTAACGACATACTAGATCAAAAATCGCCTACGAAAGTATGGTTAAACCCAAATTTGACTCGCTACAGTGTGAGCAGGGATGGACAAACTTATACCACAACCATTGAACTAACCCTCGCTAAGCACTAGCTTATATTTGTCTCAGAATGTGATTGTTCACTGATGTATATCCAGCATAAAAAATTTCATAAATAGCAGCATGCATGTATGGGGAAATTTGACTCGCTGCAGTGTGAGGAGGAATGGACCAACTTGTACCACGACCATTGAACTACCTATAAAATAAACCCTGGCTAAGAACTGGTTTATATTTGTTTCAGAAAGTAATTATGTGACTGTTCATGCACTGATGTATATCCAACATAAAATAATTTCATAAATAGCAGCATGCATGTATGGGGACTCATAGAATTTTGTTTCTTAGATTGCCTATATAATGTGACTGACATATATACTGTCTAGGTAAATTTATTGATAATTATTTGATTTTTAATGCACTTAATCTGAATTTGATGAATATTGAGCAAGGGAAGTAACGGCTAAGAACTTTTAGGTTTTATATTCATATAAAAATATAAACATACGTATATCGGCTTGTAAAAGATTGACGTGTAATTAGATTATGTTGAATGGGAAAGCATATGAAAAAAAGATAAGTAAAAATATAAAATTTGCTGTAAAAATTGCTGTCTATGTTTATTTTACATGTTCAATGCATTTTTGCCATTAGAATAATCCCCGGGCGAGGTACTAATTCCGCCTGGAGATTTTACGCCCGGGAATGCAAATGCGAAATGAAAGATGTCCGTCGTCATGGACGTTGGGTGGTTTTGTAAATTATGCGCATGCGCGAGTTTAAGTGCGCATGCGTGAGCTAAACTCGAAATAACGTGGAAAAACTTGCCCTACAGGCTCGTTTTTCAACTGATTATATCCCGTTCTCCCAAACTCCCACGCGTGTTTCTATAACTGTACAGAAACACGGAAAATATTTTCAATTTCCTAATTGGATGGTCTTAAGAATATACGAAAAATTGACTCGTAAAATTTATTAAATTTTATTTAAAAGATGCCTTCGGACAGAAAATTTTTCAGTCATTCAAATGGATGGTAAAAAATCTACGATTTTGAAGCATTTTTGGAGTGTTTTTGAACAGGCCGTAAATGGGTAGATTTTGTATTTAATTTTAGAGCATGCAATTATTTATCAACAAATGTATGACACCTCTGTTAGTTTATTCGTCAATTTCGTTAAAATCATTTTGATTGGGAAGGATATAGTATATAGTATATAGTATATAGTATATAGTATATAGTATATAGTATATAGTATATAGTATATAGTATATAGTATATAGTATATAGTATATAGTATATAGTATATAGTATATAGTATATAGTATATAGTATATAGTATATAGTATATAGTATATAGTAATAGTATATATATAGTATATAGTATATAGTAATAGTATATAGTATATAGTATAGTATATAGTATATAGTAATATAGTATAAGTATATAGTATATAGTAATAGTAATAGTATATAGTATAATATAGTATATAGTATATAGTATATAGTATATAGTATATAGTAAAGTAATAGAGTATATAGTATAAAGTATATAGTATTATATATAGTATATAGTATATAGTATATGTAAATAGTATATATAGTATAAGTAATAGTATATATTAGTATATAGTATATAGTATATAGTAATATATAGTAATAGTATATATATAGTAATAGTAATATATAGAATAGTAATAGTATATAGTATATATATAGTAATAGTATATAGTATATAGTATATAGTATATAGTATATAGTATATAGTATGTATAGTATATAGATATAGTATATAGTAATAGTATATATATAGTATATAGTATAGTATAGTATATATATAGTATATAGTATATAGTATATAGTATATATAGTATATAGTATATGTATAAGTCGACACAAACTCAGGTAAAAAGTTAGTTTTCCAAACTATTTCGTCTCAAGTTTTGAAATGTATTTCATTTTCTCCCTCTTATTTGTGCAAAATTTGGCGATATATATTTGGTGCAAAATCTGTGTTTTTATGTCAAAAATTATTGAAAAGTGACAGTCAGATTATATAATTTTCAAACCTGATGACTGAAATGGCTTCATTTATTCAAATTTATTCACAAATATCACTGTATTTTTTTCTTTATACCACAGTAATACTGTTAAAATGGTCAAAAGTAACTGACTGAAATGTTTTTGTTTATTTTCGTTTTAATAAAGTACAGACGATGCATAGCTTGCATGCCGGCCTGAAGGCCGAATTTTATAAAAGTCGAATTCGAATGCATCTGAGTTTGCATCTGAATTCTACCGCATTTTTGTTAGTACAAAACACTATTCTTTCTATCTACTACCATGCAATAGATGTTTAATAAGGGTTAACCAGGAATACTTGAAAAGGAAAGGATCCCGTTCACCATCGTAAACGGAAAAACACTTGCGAACTCCGGTTTAAATATTTTTCGCTTTCGGCTTGCCATCATGTAAAGGTGTATCTTAAAAAACGCTGCAGCTCGCATTGTGGCTACCTTTATAGTATGTTATTGCCAGGAAAGGAATATTCAAATGGCAATTCAAAATAGACAATGATATTATGTTTTGGTTATAAGTATTTTACTATCCATGTCATGCATGTGTGCCAAGTTGAAGAGTTATTTGCTTTTCAGTCGGCATCACATCACATGTACTGTACTCTGTAGTCTATATACACAGGGAAAACAAACATAAAACATGCTTATTTTATCTCTTATAGTTTTTGTCAAGAGATTTCTACTATTTTTTTTGCTGAAATGAAAAATGCTGTCAAATTACATCTTATCGATCGATAAAATTGGTATAAAAAAATTTTAGATGAGAAGTGTGAACATGGTGGTTTGTTCGATCGTGACTTTTCAATAATTTTGACATAAAAAACATAGATTTTGCACCAAATATATATCGCCAAATTTTGCACAAATAAGAGGGAGAAAAATGAAATACATTTTCAAAACTTGAGACGAAATAGTTTGGAAAAACTAAACTTTTACCTGAGTTTGTGTCGGCCTTTTCTATATTTCCCCGACGAAAGCAGCCGAAAAGATTAATGAAAACACCACAAAAACGCCTCAATTGAAAGGCAAAACTTCCTAGCCTGAAAACTATGATAACAACGATGAAACCAAGCTGAAAGATATCGAAAAATATGTAAAACAAAGGCGAAAAACGGCATATAACTCGGCGAATAGCTTTGTACTGCAAAAAATACAAATATTGTTTTTGCATAATAAGCCTCGTTTCCATGTTGAGCGAAGGCGCGGTTACTAAGTTTCGCAATTGGTCTATAGATATATCACCACATGTGTAAAACAATGTGCCCTCCCGGCTATCACCAAAGCGCAATGGTGACTCCTGCACTTGGGACACAGGACGTACGATTACACATTGTTGGAATTGAATAGAGTCACCAGAGCGCTCAAACTTAAACAAGCGAGCGTAGCATATAGCTTACGGTGAACGCATATATATATATATTTAGTATAATTTCAGTACTGAAAAATGGCCTTTGAGCATTGATTGGCTCCCTCAGCAGTAACTCTGAGGCAATAGTTACTGCTCAGAG